GAAGGAAGGATGTTGTCTCTACGCCGACCACACTGGAATAGTGAGGGATGCTATGGCCAAACTACAAGAACGACTCAAAAAACGGAAACGAGAGGCGCAACAGAATGGGTTTGCATCGTGGTTTAACCATTCCCCATGGCTTGCCACCCTAATAACTACCCTGATAGGGCCAGTTCTGATGCTCGTGATAGCGTTGATCTTTGGACCCTGGATATTGAACAAGCTGGGGTCGGTTATCGGAAGGCATCTAGGCAAAGTTAACGTCAGGCTGGGAGGACGCCAACAAGTGCTTTAAGGATGCTCTTGCCTCGCTCCAGTTATACCCTGTTGTTCTCTGTTATAGCCTGGTTATCTCTTGCTTAACGTGCCTTATATTTTTTTATTATTCAAGTATATGGTGTGTGTTTTAAGAAATGCCCTTTGGGGCGCCCACGTGTCCCTATGGGGCACCCCAAGGTCTCCTTTGGGCACCCACGTGTTCCTGTGGGGCACCCCAAGATCCTCTTTGGGCACCCACGTGTCCCTATGGGGCACCCCAAGGTTCCCATTTGGGCGCCCCCGTGTCCCTATGGGGCACCACATGGTCCCCTTTGGGCACCCACATGTCCCTATGGGGCACCCCTGTGTCCCTATGGGGCACCCCAAGGTCCCCTTTGGGCACCCTCGTGTCCCTGTGGGGCACCCCAAGTCCCCTTTGGGTGCCCCCGTGTCCCTATGGGGCATCACAGGGTCCTCTTTGGGCACCCACGTGTCCCCATGGGGCACCCCAAGGTCCCTTTGGGCACCCATGTGTCCCTATGGGGCACCCCAAGGTTCCCATTTGGGCGCCCACGTGTCCCTATGGGGCACCCCAAGGTTCCCATTTGGGCGCCCACGTGTCCCTATGGGGCACCCCTGTGTCCCTATGGGGCACCCCAAGGTCCCCTTAGGGCACCCACGTGTCCCTATGGAGCACCCCAAGTCCCCTTTGGGCACCCACATGTCCCTATGGGGCACCCCAAGGACCTCTTTTGGGCACCCACGTGTTCCTATGGGGCACCCAAGGTCCCCTTTGGGCGCCCACGTGTCCCTATGGGGCACCCAAGGTCCCCTTTGAGCACCCACGTGTCCCTATGGGGCACCCCAAGGTCCCCTTTGGGGCACCCCCGTGTCCCTGTGGGGCACCCCAAGGTCAACTTTGGACACCCCCGTGTCCCTATGGGGCACCCAAGGTCCCCTTTGGGCACCCCCGTGTCCCTATGGGGCACCCCAAGGCCCCCTTTGGGGCACCCCCGTGTCTTGTCTCTTCCCTTCCCTTCCCTTCTCTTTTCCCTTTCGCTTTCCCTTTCCCTTTCCCCTTCCTTCCCTTCCTCTTCCCCTTCCATCCCATAGCATTGGGATTGGGATTGGGATCGGGATCGGAAGCGCCGCTGGATGAGGGCGATCCCAAAAGGATGGAGATCGCAATCCCCCCCCCCCCGCCAAGCTTCCATTGGGCGCGCCCGAGTACCCCCTTGCTCTGCCGCTTGGTACCGCCCACAGCATAACGCCACGCCCCCCCCCGGGCGCCCAGCCAATCAGAGCCCGACCCATCCGGCTTGACCACGCCCCCCCCCCAGTGGGCGGGCTCATCGAGCACGAAAGGGGGACCCCCAAGTATTCAAAATGGGGGAACCCAATGCCCCCAAATGGGGGGGACACCCCAAAATGGGGGAAACCCCTTCAAACTGGGTCCCCAGCACCCCAAAATGGGAGACCCCGCCAAACTGGGACCCCGGCACCCTAAAATAGGGGGGGACACCCCAAAATGGGGGGAACCCATCCAAACTGGGACTTCAGCACCCCAAAATAGGGAGGGACACCCCAAAATGGGGGAAACCCATCCAAACTGGGACTCCAGCACCCCAAAATAGGGGGGAACACCCCAAAATGGGGGAAACCCATCCAAACTGGGACTCCAGCACCCCAAAATAGGGGGGAACACCCCAAAATGGGGGAAACCCATCCAAACTGGGTCCCCAGCACCCCAAAATAGGGAGGGACACCCCAAAATGGGGGAAACCCATCCAAACTGGGACCCCGGCACCCCAAAATGGGGGGAACACACCCCAAAATGGGGGACCCCCCAAATTGGGTCCCCAGCACCCCAAAATGGGGGAAACCCCTTCAAACTGGGTCTTCAGCACCCCAAAAAGGGGGGGACACCCCAAATGGGAGACCCCCCCCAAACTGGGACCCCAGCACCCCAAAATGGGGGAAACCCCATCCAAACTGGGTCTCCAGCACCCCAAAATGGGGAAACTCCCCCCCAAACTGGATCCCCAGCACCCCAAAATGGGGTGGGGGCACCCCAAAATGGGACCCAGCATCCCAAAATGGGAGAAACCCCTTCAAACTGGGACCCCAGCACCCCAAAATGGGGGAAACCCCTTCAAACTGGGACCCCAGCACCCCAAAATGGGGTGGGGGCACCCCAAAATGGGACCCAGCACCCCAAAATGGGGGAAACCCCTTCAAACTGGGACCCCAGCACCCCAATATAGGGGGGGCACTCCAAAATGGGGGAAACCCCCCCAAATTGGGTCCCCAGCACCCCAAAATGGGGTGGGGGCACCCCAAAATGGGGCAGACCCCAACACCCAAAATGGCTTGGACCCCCCCAGCCCCTCAAAATGGTTGCGACCCCGCTTTTCTACCCCTCCGTTATGGAACAAACCACTGTGGGGAAGGGGGGGACAGCAGTTTTATTCCTATCAGCATCACAATGGGGGGCGGGATAATTAAATAAGATCATGGGGACATATAAAATAATAGGCACAATGGGGGGGGATTATTTTGGGGAGGGCAATGGGGGGTCACAGTGAGGCCCCTCCCCCCCCCCCGTGGAGAAAATGGGTGGAATAAGGTAAGACTTGGGGTTGGAAAGGCACCATTTATACAAATATAGTGATTTATAAAGGGGGGGGGGGGGGGAAGGTGGGGATTAAACCCATTGATTTCCACTAGGAAATAATTTAGGGGGAGAAAGTGCTGGAAGAGCCTAATTATTAATTGGCATATTATTATGATTATTAAGGATTTGGCCTCAAAATGAGGGGCTGGGAGGGGTCCTGCAACCCCTTATTGCTTTGAATGGTATTGTCGCATTCCGCCCACCCCCTCCCCAGGGATATGGGGGAGACAAAGGAGATGTATGGGGGTGGGCGGGAGACCTATAGGGAAGCCACAGCCCTATGGGAAGACCTCAGCCCCATAGAGAAAGCTTGAACCCCCTAGCGAAGGCTCAGCCTATAGGGAAGGCCTGAACCCCATAGGGAAGCCCCCAGCCCCATAGAGATGGATATTCTCAGTCCCCTGTAGAGGTTTGTGGCCCCATAAGAGCTGGTCCTCAGCCCCATAGAGATACTCTACCCCCTTATAGCTCTCTGCCCTATAGGGAAGGTGCTCATTGCCATATGGATGCATATATGGTCCCATAGAGTTGCATGTGATCCCATACAGAGGCCCCATGTCATATAGGGAAGCCCCCAGCCCCATAGAGATGGATATTCTCAGTCCCCTAGGGAGGTTTGTGGCCCCATAAGGGCTGGTCCTCAGCCCCACAGAGATGCTCTCAGCCCCATATGGATGCCCTCTAGCCCTATAGGGAAGGTCCCCAGTGCCATATGGATGCACATACGGTCCCATAGAGTTGCATTTGGTCCCATACAGAGGCCCATATGGAAGCCCATGGCCCCATATGGGAACCCATGGCCCCATATGGACGCCCTCAGCCCAATGTAGATGCTCGTGGTCCCATATGGAGGCCCTTGGTCCTATATGGAGTCCCATAGCTACATATGGAAGTCCTCAGCCCTAAGCCCTAGATGGATGCTTGTGGTCCCATATGGAGGTCCCATGTCATATATGGATACTCCTAGCCCCATATGGATGCTCCTAGCCTCATATAGAGGCCCTCAATCCCATATGGATGCTTGTGGTCCCATCTGGAGGCCCTTGGTCCCATACGGCTGCCGCTGGTCCCATGTTGTATATGGATGCTGCTCGTAGGCCCATATAGAGCCCCTCAGCCCCATATAGAGGGGCCCTCAGCCCTAGATGGATGCTGGTGGTCCCATATGGAAGCCCCATGTCCTATATGGATGCTCCTAACCCCATAGGGATGCTCCTAACCCCATAGGGATGCTCCTAACCCCATAAGGATGCTCCTAACCCCATAGGGATGCTCCTAACCCCATAGGGATACCCTTGGTCCCATAGAGACCCCCTCAGCCCCATAGGGTGGTCCATAGGAGGACACAGCATCCCCTATATGAGTCCCATGAGGCATCCCCTATGGCTCCATCCACTCCAGGCACTGGAGATGCCAAGTGTCCCTTATGGAATCCCAGTGTCTCCCTATGGATTCCCAGTGTCTCCCTATGGATTCACAGTGTCTCCCTATGGAATCCCAGTGTCTCCCTATGGAATCCCAGTGTCCAAGGGGGGTCCCCAGTGTCCTATGGGGGGGGGTCACAGCTCCTCTTTGTCCACAGTACCAGAGAAGATCCAAGATGCTTAATGTCCCTTATGGAACTGCAGCGTCCCCGTATGGAATCCCGGCGTTCCCTATGGAATCCCGGCGTTCCCTATGGAATGCCATTGTCCCAAGGGGGGTCACAGCTCCTCTTTGTCCACGGTGCCGGAGAAGACGCAAGATCCTCAGTGTCCCTTATGGAAGAGCAGTGGAATTCCAGTGTTCCCTATGGAATGACGGCGTTCCCTATGGAATGACGGCGTTCCCTATGGAATGACGGCGTTCCCTATGGAATGACGGCGCTCCCTATGGAATGACGGCGTTCCCTATGGAATGACGGCGTTCCCTATGGAATGACAGCGTTCCCTATGGAATGACAGCGTTCCCTATGGAATGACAGCGTTCCCTATGGAATGACAGTGCTCCCTATGGAATGATGGCGTTCTCTATGGAATGACGGTGTTCCCTATGGAATGATGGCGTTCTCTACGGAATGACGGCGTTCCCTATGGAATGACAGTGCTCCCTATGGAATGCCAGTGTCCCAAGGGGGGGGTCACAGCTCCTCCTTGTCCATGGTGCTGAAGAAGATGCGAGATCCTCAGGGTCCCTTATGGAATCCCAGCATTCCCTATGGAATGACGGCGTTCCCTATGGAATGACACTGTTCCCTATGGAATGACGGCGTTCCCTATGGAATGACAGTGCTCCCTATGGAATGACGGTGTTCCCTATGGAATGCCATTGTCCCAAGGGGGGGTCACAGCTCCTCTTTGTCCACGGTGCCGGAGAAGATGCGGGCGAAGCGGCGGAGCTGGCGCGCGGCCGAGTGCGATTCCTGCTGCAGGCGCCGGTTGTTGTGGCGCAGGTTGGCCACTTCGGCCTGGAGAACCACCTTGTCCTGCTTCTCCTATGGGATACAGGGTCAGAGCCCCAAAACAGACCCAAAACACCCCAAAACACCCCAAAACCCAGCCCAAAACCACCTTGTCCTGCTTCTCCTATGGGATACAGGGTCAGAGCCCCAAAACACCCCCAAAACACCCCAAAAACACCCCCAAAACAAGCCCAAAACCACCTTGTCCTGCTTCTCCTATGGGATACAGGGTCAGAGCCCCAAAACACCCCAAAAACACAAGAAAACCACACCAAAACCACCCTGTCCTGCTTCTCCTATGGGATACAGGGTCAGAGCCCCAAAACACCCCAAAAACACCCCAAAAACCAGCCCAAAACCACCTTGTCCTGCTTCTCCTATGGGATACAGGGTCAGAACCCCAAAATAGCACCAAAACAGGCAAAAAACAACCCGAAACACCTAAAACCCAGCCCAAAACCACCTTGTCCTGCTTATCCTATGGGATACAGGGTCCCCCAAAACACCACCCCAGCCCAGCCCAAAACCACCTTGTCCTGCTTCTCCTATGGGATACAGCATCAGAGCCCCAAAACGCACAAAAAAAAGGCCAAACCACCCCAAAATCACCTTCTCCTTTTTCTCCTGTGGGATACAAGGTCAGAGCCCCAAAACAGACCCAAAACCAGGCCAAAAAGAACCCAAAAGTCCCCGAAAACAGCCCAAAACCACCTTGTCCTTCTTCTCCTGTGGGATACAGGGTCAGAGCCCCAAAACAGACCCAAAACAGGCCAAAACCAACCACAAACACCCCCAAAACCAGCCCAAAACCACCTTATCCCCCTTCTGCTATGGGATACAGGGTCAGAGCCCCAAAACAGACCCAAAACACCCCAAAAACCAGCCCAAAACCACCTTGTCCTGCTTCACCTATGGGATACAGGGTCAGAGCCCCAAAACAGCCCTAAAAAAGGACAATAACAACACAAAACACCCCAAAAACCAGCCCAAAACCACCTTGTCCTGCTTCACCTATGGGATACAGCGGCAGGGCCCAAAAAAAGACCCAAAGGAGGTCAAAAACAACCCAAACAACCCCAAAACACCCCAAAACCACCTTGTCCTGCTTCTCCTATGGGATACAGGGTCAGAGCCCCAAAACAGACCCAAAACACCCCAAAACCCAGCCCAAAACCACCTTGCCCTGCTTCTCCTATGGGATACAGGGTCAGAACCCCAAAACACCCCAAAACCACCCCAAAATGGTACCTTCTGGAGGTCGCTGTGGAGCTGCTTTAGCATGGCCTCGAGCTGCGACACCTTCTCGGGGAGGTCCAAGGCTGTGGGGGGGCTGTGGGGGGGGCATAGGGCAATGGGGGGGGTGGGATCCCAGACCCGGATGTGGGGGTCCCAGCCCCACATACAAGGGGGACATGGGGGGGTCTCCATATAGGGGGGGTCCCTGGACCTGATGGGGGGCGCACCCCCCCGTGGCCTCTCCAGGGGTAGGGGGAGGTCGGGGCTCAGCACCGGCTCCGTGAGGGAGAACAGGGACACGGCCCTTTGCACTGGGGGGGGGGAAGTCAGCACCCCAAAACCAGCCCCAAATACCCCAAAACCAGCAAAAAATACCCCTAAACCAGCCCCAAATACCCCCAACTACCCCCAAACCAGCCCAAACCAGCCCAAAATACCCCAGAACCAGCCCAAAACAGGTAAAATACCCCCAAACCAGCTCAAATCAGCCCAAAATACCCCTAAACAAGCCAAAATACCCCAAAAGCAGCCCAAAATACCCCAAAAGCAGCCCAAAATACCCCAAAAGCAGCCCAAACCAGCCCAAAATACCCCAAAACCAGCCCAAAATACCCCCAAACCAGCAAAAAATACCCCAAAAGCAGCCCAAACCAGCCCAAAATACCCCCAAACTAGCCAAAATACCCCAAAACCAGCCCAAACCAGCCCAAAATACCCCAAAAGCAGCCCAAACCAGGCCAAAATACCCCAAAACCAGCCCAAAATACCCCAAAAGCAGCCCAAAATACCCCAAAAGCAGCCCAAACCAGCCCAAAATACCCCAAACCAGCCCAAAATACCCCTAAACCAGCCCAAAATACCCCCAAGCTAGCCCAAAACACCCCAAAACACTCCAAAACACCCCTACAACACCCCTACAGCACCCCCAAACCACCCCAAAACACCCACAAAGCAGTCTGAAACCCCCCAAACCCAGCCCAAAACACCCGTGAAACAGCTCAAACCACCCCAAAACCAGCCCAAACCCCCTCCACAACAGTTTAAAACCCCCAAAACACCCTGAAATACCCCCAAAACACCATAAACCACCCTAAAACACCCCTAAACCAGCCCAAAGTAGCCCAAACCACCCCGAGAACCAGGCCAAAACAGCCCCAAAACAGACCAAAATACCCCAAAACACCCCCCAAACCAGCTCCAACCATCCCAAAAACAGCCCAAACTACCCCAAAACCAGCCCAAAATACCCCAAAAGCATCCTAAAACAGGCCAAAACAGCCCAAAACACACTCAAACCCACACCCAAACCAGCCCAAACCAGCCCCAAACACCTCCAAAACAGCTAAAACCACCCCAAAACACAAACCCACACCCAAATCAGCCCAAACCAACCCCAAACACCTCCAAAACAGCTAAAACCACCCCACAGATAGCCCCAACCACCCCCAAAATAGCCCAAACCAGCCCAAAACACCCTCAAAACAGCCAAACCCACCCCACAGATAGCCCCAAACACCCCCTAAATAGCCCAAACCAGCCCCAAAACAGCCCTAAATACCATGAAACACCCCAAAACACCCCCAAACCAGCCTGAAACACCCCCAAAACCATCCCAAACCCCCCCAAACCCCTCCCTTTATACCCCCAAAGCCACCCCAGCACCCCCAAAGCCACCCCATGCTGAGGGTGCAGTTGGGGGGGGACGTTGGTACCTTCATAGGCCTTGGCTGCATTGACCAGGCTGGCCCATTCCAGCCCCGTGGCCGTGTCCGGCAGCGGCATCATCCCGGGATCCACGCGGCGCAGGGAGAGCTCCGAGGCAGAGATGGGGCCTGCAGGGACATGGGGACCATTGGCACCCAAAACCATGCCAAAATCACGCTAAAACCATCCCAAAACACTCCAAACCACCCCAAAACACCCTAAATCCACCCCAAAACACCCTAAAACCACACAAAACCACCCTAGAACCACACAAAACCACCCTAAAACCACCCAAAACCATCCCCAAACACCCCAAAAATGCCCACCCAAAACCACCCCAAAACCACCCCTGAAACACCCCCAAAACACCCCAAAACCACCCAAAACCACCCCAAACCACCCCCAAACACCCTAAAACCACCCAAAACCATCCCGAAACCCCCCAAACCCACCCAAAACCATCCCCAAACATGCCAAAAATGCCCCCAAACACCCTAAAACCACCCAAAACCAACCCCAAACACCCTAAAACCACCCCAAACACCCTAAAACAACCCCAAACCTCCCCAAAACACTCCAAACCCACCCAAAACCATCCCCAACCACCCCGAAACACGCTAAAACCACCCCAAACCATCCTCAAACACCCCAAACCACCCCAAAACCATCCCCAAAACCATCCCCAAACACGCCAAAAATGCCCCCAAACACCCTAAAACCACCCAAAACCATCCCCAAACACCCCAAAACACCCTAAACCCACCCAAAACCATCCCCAAACACCCCAAACCCACCCAAAACCATCCCCAAACACGCCAAAAATGCCCCCAAACACCCTAAAACCACCCAAAACCATCCCCAAACACCCCAAACCCACCCAAAACCATCCCCAAACACGCCAAAAATGCCCCCAAACACCCTAAAACCACCCAAAACCAACCCCAAACACCCTAAAACCACCCAAAACCATCCCCAAACACCCCAAACCACCCCCAAACACCCTAAAACCACCCCAAAACACTCCAAACCCACCCAAAACCAACCCCAACCACCCCGAAACACGCTAAAACCACCCCAAACCATCCTCAAACACCCCAAACCACCCCAAACCCACCCAAACCCATCCCCAAACACGCCAAAAATGCCCCCAAACACCCTAAAACCACCCAAAACCATCCCCAAACACCCCAAAACACCCTAAACCCACCCAAAACCACCCCGAAACACCCCAAACCCACCCAAAACCATCCCCAAATACACCAAAAATGCCCCCTGAACACCCTAAAACCACACAAAACCATCCCCAAACACCCCAAAACTGCCCCCCAAACACCCTAAAACCACCAAAAACCATCCCAAAACTTCCCAGTTATGTCCTATGGGAGCTCCCCACTGTGTCCTATGGGATCTCCCCACTGTGTCCTATGGGATCTCCCCAGTGTGTCCTATGGGATCTCCCCACTGTGTCCTATGGGAGCTCCCCATTGTGTCCTATGGGAGCTCCCCATTGTGTCCTATGGGAGCTCCCCATTGTGTCCTATGGGAGCTCCCCATTGTGTCCTATGGGAGCTCCCCATTGTGTCCTATGGGATCTCCACACTGTGTCCTATGGGAGCTCCCCACTGTGTCCTATGGGATCTCCGCACTGTGTCCTATGGGAGCTCCCCACTGTGTCCTATGGGATCTCCGCACTGTGTCCTATGGGAGCTCCCCATTGTGTCCTATGGGATCTCCCCACTGTGTCCTATGGGAGCTCCCCACTGTGTCCTATGGGATCTCCCCATTGTGCCCTATGGGATCTCCCCATTGTGTCCTATGGGAGTTCCCCACTGTGTCCTATGGGAGCTCCCCGTTGTGTCCTATGGGATCTCCACACTGTGTCCTATGGGAGCTCCCCACTGTGTCCTATGGGAGCTCCCCACTGTGTCCTATGGGAGCTCCCCACTGTGTCCTATGGGAGCTCCCCACTGTGTCCTATGGGATCTCCCCATTGTGTCCTATGGGATCTCCCCACTGATTCCAGCACTCACCCTTCTTGTCGTGGAGGCCCCCGTTGGTGGTGGCTGGGTGCTGGCGGCGGTTGGGCAGGGTGCTGGAGGGGTACGTGCTCCCAAAGCCCCCCTCTGCTTCCAGCACTGGGCTCCCACTGGTGTAAGCGGGTTCCCGGCGCCCACCACAGAGGCTTTCATCTGACAGGGTCCTCTGGAGCCCCTTGGGGGGGGTCTAGGGGGGAAAAGAGGGTGGTGGGGGGGGGGATGAGCACCTGGTTGTGGTTGAAGCCCCATTGGTCATGGTTGGACCCCCACTGGTCATGGTTGAACCATCCCTGGTCATGGTTGGAACCCATTGGTCACAGTTGAACCATGCTTGGACCCCCACTGGTCATGGTTGGACTCCCATTTGACATGGCTGAACCATCCCTGTTCATGGTTGGACCCCCATTGGTCATGGTTGAAACTCCATTGGTTGTGGTTGGACTATCATTGGTCATGGTTGGACCCCCATTGGTCATGGCTGAACTATCCCTAGTCATGGTTGGACTGCCACTGGTCATGGTTGGATCCCCATTGGTCATGGTTGGATCCCCATTGGTCGTGGTTGGATCCCCATTGGTCGTGGTTGGATCCCCATTGGTTGTGGTTGGATCCCCATTGGTCGTGGTTGGACCCCCATTGGTCGTGGTTGGACCCCCATTGGTCGTGGTTGCACCCCCCTTGGTCGTGGTTGGACCATCCCTGGTCATGGTTGGACCCCCCTTGGTCATGGTTGGACCATCCCTGGTCATGGTTGGACCCCATTGGTCGTGGCTGATCTCCCATTGGTTGTGGTTGGACCCCCACTAGTCATGGTTGAATCTCCACCGTTCATGGTTGGACCCCCACTGGTCATGACTGGACCCTCACTGGTTGTGGTTGGAACCCCTCTGGTCATGGTTGAACCCCCACTGGTCATGGTTGGAGCCCCCCAGATCATGTTTGGAGCCCCATTGGTTATGGTCGGACCCCACTGGTCGTGGTTGGACCCCACTGGTCATGGTTGGCCCCCCTGGTTGTGTTTGGAGGCCCCTTAGCCATGGCATTCCGGGCTCACCGGGGCGCGCTCCGGCTCCGGGCTGGTGGTGTCCATGATGATGAGCTTCTTGAGGTCATCCTCACCCAACTTCATCACCTCCTGCGGGGGGATCGCATCAACCCAACATCGCCCGGAGCCGGGGCTGCCCAACACGTCATCATCGGGGTGGCCTCCACCTGCCATCAACCCAACATCACCCTATCATTACCCCAATATCATCCCCAACATCACCACCCCCATCATCACCCCATCATCATCAACCCAACACCACCCCATCAACACCCCAATATCATCCCCAACATCATCATCCCAACATCATCATCACCCCCAAAATCACCCATCATCATCATCCCAACATCACCTCAACATCAACCCAACATCACCCTATCATTACCCCAATATCATCCCCAACATCATCACCCCAACATCATCATCCCAACATCACCCCATCATCCCAACGTCATCATCATCCCATCATCATCATCCCAACATGATCCCAACGTCATCATCATCCCAACGTCATCATCCTCATCATCCCATCATCATCATCCCAACATCACCTCAACATCAACCCAACATCACCCTATCATCACCCCAATATCATCCCCAACATCACATCCCCATCATCACCCCCAAAATCAGCCATCATCACTCCAACATCACCCCATCATCCCGTCATCATCATCCCCACGTCATCATCATCCCAACGTCATCATCCCAACGTCATCATCCCAACGTCATCATCCCAACGTCATCATCCCAACATCACCTCAACATCACCACCCCAATATCATCCCCAACATCACCCCCAATATCACCCATCATCATCACCCCAACATCATCACCCCATCATCATCATCACCCCAAAAATCACCCATCATCATCATCCCAACATCACCCCAACATCATCAACCCATCATGATCCCATCACCTCAACAGGCCTCCACCTGCCTAGGACCATGGAGGGGGGGGGAGCACATGGATGTGGGACCCCCCCTGAACTCCAACATCACCCCAAATCACCCCATCATCATCATCCCCATCATCTCCCAACATCATCACCCCATCACCTCCTTTTGTGGTCCTAACCCCCCCCCCAGCACCTACTATTGGGTCCTGCTCCCCCCATCACCCACTTTTATGGGTCCTACCCCCCCCCCCAGCACCCACTTTTGGGGTTCAGGCTTCTCCTCAGCCCTTTTCCAGCCCGTGGCTTGTTTATTCCTGACCGGCTGCTTGGAAAAGAAGGATTTGGGGATGGAAGCTGAGAGCTGGGCCCCCCCCCGGGGGGCTTCAGTTGTGGGGGTGCCATAGCCAGGATACCCCATCCGTGGGTTGGAACTATGAGGAAGAGGATGGAAGCTCATGGTTAGGATGGGGATGTAGGTACACCCCCCCCCCATAATGATAGGGGGGCCCAATATAGTGGGGGACACACCCCTAGTTGGGGGGGGCTCACCTGGGTTGGGGGGGGGTCCCTGCTTTGTGCCTGTAGCTTGTGCTGGGGGGTGATGGGTCCCCCTTGGTGGTGGCGGTGGCATCGTCCCCTGGAGCCCCTATGGGTTTGGGGCCCTTATCCCTTTGGGATAGCGGGCGGGGGGGTGGTGGTGGTGGTTTGGGGGTGTCGATGCCGCTGTCGTTGGCGCTGCTTTTGGGGAAAGGATCCGGGAATTCGGCGCCGTCGGTGGCATCGGGAATGTCGAACCAGCGCTCGTCGCTCGAGGCGGTGCTGGAGAGCGTGGTGGTGCTGGAATGGCTGGAATATGGTGCCTCACCCTATGGGGCACCCCCACAGCATCACCTTGGTGTTCCCTAACCCCCCCCCCCCCCCCACCTTGGGATCACCCCAGTGCCTCACCTTGGAATGCCGCTTGGGAGAATCCATCCCGGCCACCTCCTGTTTGCTGCTTCTCCTGCCTGTTGGCAAGCGGGGCTGCGCTGGCACGTGCCACAGGGGCTCTGCAATGAGTCCCCGTTGGGTCGGTGTCACCATAAAGGCCCCGGTGGCCTCGGGGGGGGACACCGGGGTCACCGTACCCGGGTTGTGCCGCTCCATGGTGCTCTCGTGGCTGCTGACCCCCCCCGAGGAGGAATCGCCATCGGGTGGCTCCGCTGCTGCCCCAAACCTGTAACGGGAATGGGGGTTAAACCACCCTAAAACGGTGCCAACCCCCCCCCCCCCACTATGGGGTCGCCATGGTGCCACCCACCCCTATGGGACACAGTGTGTGTGGGGGGGGGGTCCCCATGGTGTCACCCACCTCTCTGGGGATGGTTTATAGCGAGTGAAGGTGCTGCCCGGTGCGGAGAAGCTGCCCGATGGTTGCCGGTACGGCTGCGGCCGCTCCGATGGGGATGAGGAGGAGGAGGAGGGATGCGGTGTCTCTGGGAAGCTCAGCGGCCTGGCTCCATGGATCCATGTGGGAAAAAGGCAGGGAAGCAGGGAATGGGTTGGGGTGGGAAGGACTTTCAGATCTCCCAGTTCAAACCCTCTGTCATGGGCAAGGACAGGTCACAGTCCAACAGCTCCGTGTCCTTACGTTGAGGACACGGGATGCGGTATCCAAGTGGGATCCCCTCCATGACCTACTGGCCATGGTCCTATTGATGCAGCCCAATAGCTCCACTTGGATCCTGGGGAGTCCTCGACATGAGGAGGACATGGAGCTGCTGGAGCAAGTCCAAAGGAGGCCATGAGGATGAGGAGGGGCTGAGAACATTGGGGCTGGAGGAGAGGTGAGTGGAGACCTTCAGACCTCCAGGGTCTGAAGGGGGTCACAAGGATGCTGGAGAGGGACCACCAGCAGGGATTGGAGCGATAGGACAAGGGGTGATGGGTTCCAACTGGAATAGGGAAGTTCAGGCTGGAGATAAGGAAGGGAGGGTGGTGGGACACTGGAATGGGGTGAATGGAGAAGTGGTGAATGCCCCATCCCTGGCAGTGTCCAAGGCCAGGTTGGAGGGGACTTGGGCAACCTGGTCCAGTGTGAGGCATCCCTGCCCATGGCAGGGGTTGGAGCTGGATGAGCTTAAGGTCATTTCCAACCCAATCCATTTGGTGACTCTATAAGAGGTTGGTGATGATGGTGCCATGGTGATGGTGCCATGGCGATGGTGATTGTGTCACGGTGATGGTGTCATGGTGATAGTGCCATGGTGATGATGCCAGGGTGGTGCTGTCATGGTGATGGTGCCATGGCGATGGCATCATGGTGATGGTGTCATGATGGTGCTGCCATGGTGATGGTGCCATGGCGATGTTGTCATGGTGATGCTAGCATGGTGATGGTGTCATGGTGATTGTGCCATGGTGATGTTATCATGGTGATGGTGTCATGGTGGTGCTGCCATGGTGATGCTAGCATGGCGATGGTGCCATGGTAATTGTGCCACGGTGGTACTGCCATGGTGAGGGTGCCATGGCGATGGTGCCATGGTGATGTTATCATGGTGAAGGTGTCATGGAAATGTTATCATGGCGATGGTGTCATGGTGATGGTGCCATGGTGACGTTATCATGGTGATGGTGCCATGGCAATGGTGCCATGGTGATGGTGTCATGGTGGTGCTGCCATGGTGATGGTACCATGGTGATGTTATCATGGTGATGGTGTCATGGTGGCGCTGCCATGGCGATGGTGTCATGGCGATGTTATGGCGATGGTGTCGTGGTGATTATGTCATGGTGGTACTGCCATGGTGATGTTATCATGGTGGTGCTGCCATGGTGATGGTGCCATGGCAATGGTGCCATGGTGATGGTGTCATGGTGATGGTACCATGGTGATGTTATCATGGTGATGGTGTCATGGTGGGGGTGCTGCGGTCACTCACCTCTTGCCATGGGGCGGCAGCACCGCCTGCTTGCCGGGGCGGCCGTGGGGCGCTGTGGGGCCGAGGCTGGTGCTGTGGGAGGCCGAGGAGCTCCATTGCCATGCGGCGCTGCTGCGGTATGGGGGGCGCGCCGGGCAGCCCCCCCGCTCCGGCTCCTCCCTGGGCTCCGTGCTGCCCAGGGACACGCACTCGGACCAGCCCCTGCCAAGCACAGGGAGCGGGGCTCAGGGCAGGGAGCTGGTGGCAAGAGGCGCTTATGGGGCATGGAGCCATGGGGATCAGCACTTATGGGGCACCGAGCGATGGGGATCAGCACTTATGGGGCACAGAGCCATGGGGATCAGCACTTATGGGGCACAGAGACATGGGGATCAGCACTTATGGGGCACCCAAAGGCAGCCAGTGCCATGGGCAGAGCTTTAGGCCCCCCAAGCAATGCCTTTCCTGTAGCTCTTTAAGTCCCCATTACCAGTGACCAGCACTGGAAAACTGGGATACCCCACCCTCAAATCCCACTGGGAAGGCTCCACACCCTTTGGGCACTCTATTGCCCAACACAAAGGGGATGTTCTCCCATTGGTGGCAACTGGAAGACATGGGCTCCATGGAGAACCATCATCAACCTAACTGGAAGACATGGGCTCCATGGAGGACCATCGCCAACCTAACTGGAAGACACGGGCTCCATGGAGAACCATCATCAACCTAATTGGAAGACACGGGCTCCATGGAGGACCATCGCCAACCTAACTGGAAGACATGGGCTCCATGGAGAACCATCGCCAACCTAACTGGAAGACACGGGCTCCATGGAGAACCATCATCAACCTAATTGGAAGACACGGGCTCCATGGAGGACCATCGCCAACCTAACTGGAAGACATGGGCTCCATGGAGAACCATCATCAACCTAATTGGAAGACACAGGCTCCATGGAGGACCATCGCCAACCTAACTGGAAGACATGGGCTCCATGGAGAACCATCATCAACCTAATTGGAAGACACGGGCTCATTGGAGGACCATCTCCAACCTAACTTGGAGACATGGGCTCCATGGAGGACCATCTCCAACCTAACTGGGAGACATGGGCTCCATGAAGGACCATCATCAACCTAACTGAGAGATATGGGCTCCATAGAAGACCATCGCCAACCTAACTGGAAGACATGGCCTCTGTGGAGGACCATCACCAACCTAACTGGGAGATATGGGCTCCATGGAGGACCATCGCCAACCTAACTGGAAGACATGGGCTCCATGAAGGACCATCACCAACCCAACTGGAAGACATGGGCTCCATGGAGGACCATCCCCATCATCGCCATCACCTACCTCCGAGGAGCCCCATCCTCATGGGGCGGGATGATGACCACCTTGACGGTGACGGAGGTGCGGAGCAGGTCGATCATCTGGTCGTGGTTGAGGGTGACCACGGCCACCTTGCAGATCTCCACCAGGCGGCTGCCTTGCCGCAGGCCCGCTTGCCAGGCGAAGCCGTAGTCCTCCACCTCGGCCACCGTCCCATCGTACTTGACGTGGAAGCCCAGCTGGCCCAGGCCGTTCCTCCTCAGGGTCATGTCCACCGTCTCGCAGCCGTCCGTCATCACCTTGGCAAGGGGGAAAGGAGGAGGTTGGAGGCCTAAAAGCCTCCTCGGGGTGGTCCTGGATCCACATCCCAGCAGGAGACAGCCTCCAGGTTTAGGGCTGGAATGGAGCTGGAGATGATCCAGTTCCAGAGGGAGGGATGCATTCCATAGAGGAGATTGCTCCAAGCAGGGCTTGGGCACGGCAAGGGATGGAGCAGCCAAACCACCTTCATTCAAGCCAGACCCAGTCCTTCTGCCCTCACAGGGAAGAGCTTCATTATGAGAGTGATGGGAAGTTGAGGTTGGATATAAGGAAGAACTTCCCTATATCCAACCTGAATTTCCCCTGTTCCAGTGTCCCACCACCCTCACAGGGAAAAACTTCCTTATATCCAACCTCAACTTCCCATCACCCTCATGAGGAAGAACTTCCTTATATCCAACCTCAACTTCCATCACCCTCACAGGGAAAAACTTCCTTATATCCAACCTCAACTTCCCATCACCCTCATGAGGAAGAGCTTCCTTATATCCAACCTCAACTTCCCATCACCCTCATGAGGAAGAGCTTCCTTATATCCAACCTCAACTTCCCATCACCCTCATGAGGAAGAGCTTCCTTATATCCAACCTCAACTTCCCATCACCCTCATGAGGAAGAGCTTCCTTATATCCAACCTCAACTTCCCATCACCCTCATAGGGAAGAACTTCCTTATATCCAACCTCAACTTCCCATCACCCTCATAAGGAAGAACTTCCTTATATCCAACCTCCAACTCATGAGGAAGAGCCCTTATCACCCTCCCACCACCCTCATAAGGAAGAACTTCCTTATATCCAACCTCAACTTCCATCACCCTCATAAGGAAGAACTTCCTTATATCCAACCCCAACTTCCCGTCTCCCAGCTCCACCCCATCACCCCTCATCCAAGCAGCACTTCCACAACCTCTGCCCATGGTTCTTCCACCTGGAAACCCACCTTCAACCTCTGCACGATCTCCTTGATGTCCTCAGGACCCCCTTCCCCGGCCCGGATGAAGATATGGTCCCCTCGGCCATAGAAGATCTTGATGGTGGCCGCATCGGCGGTCCACCCGATGACGTCCCCACAGAAGCAGTTGAAGACCACCTCTTTAGCTCCCAGATCCAGGAGGACCACGAACTCATTGGAGATTCCCAAAGCACAAGAGATCTCGGCTCCACGGGCGAAATCCAACGCGGAAACACGCCAGGAGATGGCCCCGGCGCTGTGCTGCTCAGCCCCAACCCGTGCTTTGGTCTTCTCCTTCTTCTTGGAAGCCAAGGAGATGAGGTTGAACTTCCCAGTGGAGTCGATGGGAGTGTTGGTGACCCAGTTCTCAGCCAGGTCCTTCAGGTATTCCCGGCGTGTCCTGGTGGCCATGGTGTGGAACTTGTCCGATTTGTGAGCCGCGTTCTCCGCGTTGATCACCTTGGCCAAGAGGAACTCTCGGAAGACGTCGGATTTGCGGAAGGTGACGCCGTTGGGAATGGGAGGACCGAAGGAAGGGACGTCCTTGGATCTGGTGACGGCCACGCTTGGGAAGGAATGGAGAAGGGAAGGTGGTTAAGGTGGCTAAAAGCATGGAACCCCGCTCAGGGTTGGGATTTAGGTCCCTTCTTGCCCGCTCCGAAGGGAGAAGCTCCACGTCTCCTCTTCCAAGAGGGGGAAATTTGGGATGTGGTGGCCAAATCCAGCTGGAAGCTCACCTGTAAGAGACGTTCTCCGTGCAGGGATTGTGGGCTCGGACAATGATGAAGACGTGCTGGAAGTGGGAACGGATGTTCTGAGGGGTGAAAGGCAACGCTCCAGGTTCTTGGAAGATGATGGTGACGATGTCATTCCCGATGTGCCTCTTCCTCAGCAGCTGGAAGAGAGAAGACGAAGGGAGAGGAGCAAATCCCTACGGATGGAGAGGAGGGGGAAGCCCAACGAAGGCGCTGCTGGGGATGGAGGGGGTTACCTGCTGCCTGTTGTTGGGAGTGTAGGGAAGCATGGTGGACACGTGGAACATGATCTCATAGTCCTGGTACGTGGTGTAGAGGGAATGGGTCCCGGTGGAGTCGGCTACAAGGGCGGCAGAGGGGACAAGTGAGCGGTGGTGGCAGCATCTCCGGTGGCCCCACGGTGCCAGCCCGTGGTGTCACTCACTCTTGGTGTCCAGCTGGGCCGCGTACTTGCTGAAGGCCTTGAGGCAAACCTTCTCCCCCAGGAGCATGAGGAACTCCTCGAAGGGGGGACCGGCCTCCTCGTTGTTGTACATCTCCTCCTCCGAGCTCTGCCCGGCTTTGCAGTAGAGAATTCCCACCTTGTGCCTCCGGCAGAGCTGCGGGAAGACGGGAATCAAGCGGCGCCGGATCCCAGCGGCTCCGGGAGCGTTGGTTCCTACCTCTACTCACCCCTTGCTCATCGAGCTTGAGGAGCTGCTCGGTGACCTTGGGCGTGCTGAGGGCCAAGCGCAGGCAGTGGATGTTGAGCTCGGGAATGACGTATTCCAGAGCATCCTTCAACGGGAGGCCCCGCACTGTCCCGTGCTTGGTGGTGGTGGGGGTGGCATCTTCCAGGATGGAGCCACGGAGGGTGATGAGCTGGGAAAAGACCAATCGAAAACGGGATAAGCAGGGCTGGATCCAGCTTCCCAATCCTGGGTTTGTGGTATCCCAGCGGGATGCGGTACCTCACTGGTGCGGAAGATGATCCTGTACTGGTATTGGGGGCCGTGGTCCTTGTGGTCCTCCAGCTTCTCCCGCTTGATGCTGACGGCCACCGGGCCGAGCTTCTCATCCACTCCAAAGTAATTCGAGTGCTCTACCAGGAATAAAAGAGGGATGGAGGAGAAAATGGGGATCAGGAGCATCGGGATGAGCTGGGAACCCCCTTGTCACAACACCCCCCCCCAAACCCCACCTTTGCCATGGAAGTGGTCGCGGTAGTAGCGGGCACCGAGGTCCACGTGCTCCACGCTGTAGTGCTTGAGGCGGTTGGGGTTCCTCTGCAGCTCCTTGGGCACCTCCAGCACCGAGATGGCAGCGTTGGTGGGCCGGGGATCCAGGATAGGCTCCGGGAAGCTCCCATCGGATACGGGGAGGACCGGAGATCCCCCGGAAGCTTTGGAGAAGCTGACGTTGCGCTCGCCGGCGCCACCGATCTCGTTGCGGAAATGGGGACAACTGAGGAGCAGCTCGTTGCTGGTGTTATCGCCGAGGTCGTGCTCCAAGTTCTCCTTCGAGTTGGGATCCTCGGTGCCGGGAAAGGCCGGATCCGAGCCCATTCCCGACGGGGCGGCCGAGGCAGCCGAGGCGCCCGTGGTGGTGTTGCGGCGTTGGGCCACCACCACGCGGTTGGTGGCCACGGCGTTGAGGTCGAAGAAGATGCTTTGGACGTCGTAATGGGCAAAGCTCTTCTGGCACCACCAGCTCCTGCCCGGCTCCGGTGCCCGCGGCTCCTCCGGTTCCGCGTCGTTCCGGGCGTTCCGGAGCTTCCTGAAGATGGATTCGGCGCCGGCGTCACCTTTGGGGCATCTCCGGCGGGGTTTCTCCTTGGATTGGGTCAATGCTTCATCCCGAGCTCCATTCCTGCCATCTGCTTTGATCCCGGGGTATGATCCCATAGGAAAACCGGCCTCTCCGAGACGCTCTGGGCTCGCCGCTCGCCGCTCGGGCTTCTTGGTGCGGAATTCATTGAGCATATCAAAGAAGCTTTGCTCCGAGATTCCCTGGATGTCAATGGAGGAGGTGCTGCCGTATTCCCGGAATATCCCACCTCCTCCTCCCAGTTTGGCTCCTCGGGGCTCCGTCGGCTCCTCGGGATCGCACTCGCTCAACGTCACCTCACTGCTGCTCCGGTGTCGCAGCGGTGCCAAACCTTTGGCCGGGGATCGAGGCCATCCCTCTTGGAATTCCACATCCTTGGAACGCCGCCGCGCCAGGCGCTGCAGGGCTTTGAAACCCGCGACGCCCGCCAGGGGCTGCTGCCCGATGGGAGCCGCATTCCGGCTCCAAGGAGCATCCCGGCTTCCCGCTGCTTCCCGAGGAGGCTCCTTGGGGGGGTCCCTCTTGGGGGGCCACTCGGCGATGCGGGCACGAACCCCCATTTTGGGGACAGGGACCATGCGGGGGGGGTCAGCCCCGGGAGGTGCCGCCATGGGGGGTGCTGGCACCACGTTGCCATTGGGCACCCAAAAGGGCGCTGGGGAACCGTCGGTGTCCTCATGGCGCGGCGGGCGGTGGGAGCTCATGGTCCGGTGACGGGGATGAAGCCGTTCATTGCCAGGCCGGGAATGCCGCTGGGATGCCGCCGCTGGGAATGCCGGGAAGGCTGGGAATGCCGTGGGGCATGGTGGTGGCACTCAGAGCCGATGGGACATCCTGGGGTGGGGAAGAGAGAGAAGAGAGGGGGACATGGGGTTGGAGGTGGGGAGCACCAGTTTGGGTTGGGAATGACCAGTAATGGTCCCCTCTGATCCATGGGATGGGAAGAAGCTGGAATCATCCAGATCCAAGCCACAGGGACACCGGCCATAGGGCAGGCTGCTCCTTGGGCACAGCCAGGGATGGAGCATCCCAACCTGCTCCATCCAACCCATCCTCATGGGGAAGAGCTTCATCCCAAGAGCCCATCATCTCCTCATCCCATCCCTCCATCCCGTGTCCAAAGCCCTGCTCCAGGTCTCCTGCAGGCACTGGGAGTTGCTCTGAGGTCTCTATGGACATGGAGATGAAGCATCAGGAAGAGATTTGTACCCACAAGGATATGAAATTCCCGGGATGCTCTTCCCAAAAGATATGGGAGCATAAACCTGCAGCCAGGGACGATGGGATCCCCCTTCCCATACAGTATGATCCCAACGGGAAGGGTTCAGGGCAACCTTTTCCGTCCCTATGGAAGAACTTGTCATCCCCTTCCTTTTTTAATGGATTTGGAGCTACTTTTGATGGAAAACCAGGAACAGCCTTGCATTTCCCAACAGCAGCTCCATGTTTTGGGAATACCCCCCCCCTTTTCCTTCCTGGAATCTCCCCCGACTTGGCATTTCCAGCCTCCACTATCAAGCTTGGGAAGACCAAAAGCGCTGGAGCACCTCCGTTATCCAGCAGGAATCCATCCAAGCAGGAATCTCATCCTATTCCCTAGGAAATATGGGAAGAGTCTCCCCCTCTCCGGGCTCTGTGTGCCAAAGGGAAGCAGAAGGAGCCCTAAGGATTCATTGCAGGAGTTTAAGGGGAATCCTGGTGGCTCCGACACCGGATTCACCGGCACCGATGGATCCCAAAGCATTCCAAGGGATCCCAGTGGAGGGATGAACACCGCCCCAGCTGCTCCATCACCCCCTTGGGATGTCCTTTGGGATAAGAAATGAGGGAAAAGGCTTCAACAACACACCCCCCCCCCCAGATGGATCCTGCTCCTGCAGCTGATCCCGCTCCTCCAGTTGATCCCAAAGTTGGGAATGTTGAGGCCCATCCTGCTGCATTTGCAGGAGCAGGGCCCAACCCTTTCCCTGCTAATGAATAACCAGATTGGTTTTAATGGTTAACCACAGGCTTTGCTTTGGGATGTGGGATGGGATTTAACCCCTTCCCAGCTTTATCCCACCCAATTCCCACTACAACCCCGGGATTTTACCCCCCACAGGGGCCTTTCCGCTTCCAGCTTGATCCCAGCTCATTCCCAAATCCACCATGAGCTTCTCCTCCCTTCCTCAGGGCTTCCCACAGGGAATAAAGCACCATCCCAGGCTCCCTTTGGGATGAAACGGCCCCAGAAAGACTCTTTGGGATGGGGGGGGGGATGTGGTGTTTCCCGGTTTTCCCAGTGCTCATCCAAAGGGAAAGGCAAGGGTAATTAGGGAAGCAATTAAAGGAAAAGCTCGGGAATTCTGGGCTTAATGAGGGGGTAGTTAAAGCCCAATAATCATTAGTGGGCAATGAGGACACCATTCATTATCCCAAAGGGAAAACAGGAATACAGGAAGGGCTCTATCCCAACCTGGACCTTGATTCCCGGTTTTATCTGATGAAGACGGGATAATGAACACCATTCCAACACCAACACGGTTGGGAATAGGGACCGATTCCTACTTGCCTGGATTCCCAAGGCCGGGATCTCTGGGATAGCAGCGTCTCTGGATGAGGTTGGCCTATTCCAAAGGAATTATGATCCCAAAGGAAGGAGCTTGTCACATCCCCCCGGTGAATCCCTTTCCCTTGGGATAAATCCCTGCGTGTTGAGGTCCAAAGAAGCCCGGGGAGGCCTGGATGTCGGGATGAAGAACAGGGATGGGCAGGAGGAAGAGGAGGCTCCTATGGCATTCCCAAGCTCCAAGCTTGAGGAGGAATCCTGGGAGAAGGAAAAGAGGAAGGGTTGAAAGCGCTGGGATCGCCCTGCTCCCAATGGAATGCCAACAGATCCAAGGGCCACCTTGGATTCGGGATGGAGTCGGGATTACCGCTCCATGAAATCCAAAGGGAAAAGGAAGTTGTTAAAGAGCACCCCCCCCCCCCCCAAATCCCATTAAATAACCCAAGAGCCAAGGAAAACCGGGATAAAAGGGAAGGAAAAGGCAAGTCCCAACGCGCAGGAGGCAGCGGGAAGCGCTGCCAGCTCCATACCCGCCTCACGGGTGCCCCCCCCCCCCCCAAACAAGCCCTTTGCCATGCCCAAAAAGCCTCATTTTGAGCCCAAAACAAGGCCAAAGAATTCCCACCTTTGGGAATGGGGGTATTCCCCCAGCCCTGGGGGTGAAATAGGGGTTGGGGGGGGGGAAAAATGGGGCTTTTTGGGGGGAGAAAATGAGGGATTTGGGGGGAAATGGGGCTTTTTTTTTGGGGGGGGGAAGGGTTTTTGGGGGGGGAAGAAGTTTTTTTTTTGGGTGGAAATGAGGGATTTGGGGGGAGAAATTTTTTTTTGGGGGGAAATGGGTTTTTGGGGGGAGAAATGGGGGGTTTTGGGGGGATAAAATGAGGGATTGGGGGAAAGGTTTTTTTGGGGGGAGGAAATGGGGTCTTTTTTGGGTAAATGTGATTTTGGGGGGGAATTGGGGGGAAATGTTTTTTTTTGGGGGGGAGAAATGAGGGATTTGGGGGGAATGGGGGCTTTTTGAGGGGAAAAAGGTTTTTTTGGGTGGGCAGATGGGGGTTTTGGGGGGTAAATGGGGGTTTGGGGGGTAAATGGGGGTTTCGGGGGGTAAATGGGGGTTTGGGGGGGTAAATGGGGTTTTGGGGGGGTAAATGCGGGTTTTGGGGGGTAAATGGGGTTTTGGGGGGGTAAATGTGGGTTTGGGGAGGGTTCTGGGTGTTCTTAAATGCGGTTTTGGGGCAGTTCCGGGGGTATTTGGGGCAGTTCCGGGTGTTTTCCACGGCAGAATCCCAGCGGGACGCGTTGCAAAGGGGGATTTGGGAGCCACAACCCAGCTGCACCTTAACAAAGGGCTCAATCTACGACTCCCATTGAGTCCGGGCCCAAACCCCCCCCCCCATAATACACAGATCCCTATGGATTTACCTACCGCAACCCCTCCTGGTCCAGTGCTGAGGGAGGAAAAGAGGGAATAGATCCATAAACAGCAGGAAAGTTGGGAAACAGCCTCATTTGGGGGGGGGGACACCCCAAATACCCCCCCTAAAGGCCCAGTCGTCGTCGCCCGTCCCGTCCGTCCCCCTTCAACGCAAAGGCCGCTGGGAGTTGTAGTCCCCCCCCTCCCCACGGCCTACCCCTGCGGCCTGCTCCCAGCACTACAACTCCCGGCAGCCCCCCCCCAATAAACGGGGACCCGGAGGTTGAAGCGGGGACACCTCTCCCGTTACCCTCGAGGCCCCGGAAAGGCCCAGGCCTGATCGGAGCTCGGTGGTGGCGGTGGTGGTGGTGGCAGCGGCGGCAGAGCCCCCCCCTCCCCGTCCGTCCCCCCCGAGCCTCAGGGGGGGACTGAGGGAGGAAGAGGGGAGGGGGGGGGGGAGTCACTCACCCCGCGGCGCGAGCGCAGGAGCCAATCGGCGGCGCGGGACGGCGGCGGCGGCGGCGGAAGAGGAGGGAGGGGCTTCGCCTTCGCCGTGTAGCCAATGAGAGAAGGGAACGGGGATGGTGATTTGCATACGGGGGAAGGGAGGGAGGGGGCGCGCCCCGCCCACGCTGTGGCGTCTGATTGGGAGGGGTATTTGCATAAAGGGCGCGCTCCGCAGAGGGTCCCGCGGGTAAAAAGGGGGCTCTGCTCTATGGGGGGGGGCTGGTGTCAGCCCCATTGGACCCTATGAGGGTCGCCGTCAGCCCCACTGGACCCTATGGGGACTGCCGTCAGCCCCACTGGACCCTATGGGGGCTGCCGTCAGCCCCACTGGACCCTATGAGGGTCGCCGTCAGCCCCACTGGACCCTATGAGGGTCGCCGTCAGCCCCACTGGACCCTATGGGGGTCGCCGTCAGCCCCACTGGACCCTATGGGGGCTGCCGTCAGCCCCACTGAACCCTATGAGGGTCGCCGTCAGCCCCACTGGACCCTATGGGGACTGCCGTCAGCCCCACTGGACCCTATGGGGGCTGCCGTCAGCCCCACTGGACCCTATGAGGGTCGCCGTCAGCCCCACTGGACCCTATGTGGGTCGCCGTCAGCCCCACTGGACCCTATGAGGGTCGCCGTCAGCCCCACTGGACCCTATGGGGGCTGCCATCAGCCCCATTGGACCCTATGAGGGTCGCCGTCAGCCCCATTGGACCCTATGGGGACTGCCGTCAGCCCCACTGGACCCTATGGGGGCTGCCGTCAGCCCCACTGGACCCTATGAGGGTCGCCGTCAGCCCCACTGGACCCTATGAGGGTCGCCGTCAGCCCCACTGGACCCTATCGGGGCTGCCGTCAGCCCCACTGGACCCTATGGTGGTCGCCGTCAGCCCCATTGGACCCTATGAGGGTCGCCGTCAGCCCCACTGGACCCTATGGTGGTCGCCGTCAGCCCCATTGGACCCTATGGGGGCTGCCATCAGCCCCATTGGACCCTATGGGGGTCGCCGTCAGCCCCATTGGACCCTAGGAGGGTCGCCGTCAGCCCCACTGGACCCTATGTGGGCTGCCGTCAGCCCCACTGGACCCTATGAGGGTCGCCGTCAGCCCCATTGGACCCTATGTGGGTCGCCGTCAGCCCCACTGGACCCTATGAGGGTCGCAGTCAGCCCCATTGGACCCTATGAGGGTTACTGGGATGCCCTCCACAGCCTGCCCAGGTAGATACTGGGAGCACTGGGAGGTGCTGGGAGTCCCTTGGGAGCGACTGGGAGTCCCTGAAGGGGAACTGGGAATATGCTTGGGGGTAACTGGAGGCTACTGGGGACAGCCCATAACCTTTGGGGGTCAACTGGGAAGCCTTTGGGAGTCACTGGGGGCTACTGGGGAGTAACTGGGAGGCTCTAAAGGACACTGGGACCTCATGGAGAGCCTTTGGGAGCTACTGGGAGTAACTGGGAAGCCCTAAAGGACACTGGGACCTCATGGAGAACCTTTGGGAGCTACTGGGAAGTCCTAAAGGACACTGGGACCTCATCCAGAGCCTTTGGGAGCTACTGGGAAGCCCTAAAGGACACTGGGACCTCATTGAGAGCCTTTGGGAGTAACTGGGAAACCCTAAAGGACACTGGGACCTCATGGAGAGCCTTCGGGAGCTACTGGGAGTAACTGGGAAGCCCTAAAGGACACTGGGACCTCATGGAGAGCCTTTGGGAGCTACTGGGAGCAACTGGGAAGCCCTAAAGGACACTGGGACCTCATTGAGAGCCTTTGGGAGCTACTGGGAGTAACTGGGAAGCCCTAAAGGACACTGGGACCTCATGGAGAGCCTTTGGGAGCTACTGGGGAGTAACTGGGGAGCCCTAAAGGACACTGGGACCTCATCGAGAGCCTTTGGGAATAACTGGGAAGCCCTAAAGGACACTGGGACCTCACCGAGAGCCTTTGGGAGCTACTGGGAGTAACTGGGAAGTCCTAAAGGACACTGGGACCTCATCCAGAGCCTTTGGGAGCTACTGGGAAGCCCTAAAGGACACTGGGACCTCATGGAGAGCCTTTGGGAGCTACTGGGAGTAACTGGGAAGTCCTAAAGGACACTGGGACCTCATCGAGAGCCTTCGGGAGCTACTGGGAGTAACTGGGAAGCCCTAAAGGACACTGGGACCTCATGGAGAGCCTTTGGGAGCTACTGGGAGTAACTGGGAAGCCCTAAAGGACACTGGGACCTCACCGAGAGCCTTTGGGAGCTACTGGGAGTAACTGGGAGGCTCTAAAGGACACTGGGACCTCACCGAGAGCCTTTGGGAGTAACTGGGAAGCCCTAAAGGACACTGGGACCTCACCGAGAGCCTTTGGGAGCTACTGGGAGTAACTGGGAAGTCCTAAAGGACACTGGGACCTCATCCAGAGCCTTTGGGAGCTACTGGGAAGCCCTAAAGGACACTGGGACCTCATGGAGAGCCTTTGGGAGCTACTGGGAGTAACTGGGAGGCTCTAAAGGACACTGGGACCTCATCAAGAGCCTTTGGGAGCTACTGGGAGTAACTGGGAAGTCCTAAAGGACACTGGGACCTCATGGAGAGCCTTTGGGAGCTACTGGGAGTAACTGGGAAGCCCTAAAGGACACTGGGACCTCATCCAGAGCCTTTGGGAGTAACTGGGAAGCCCTAAAGGACACTGGGACCTCATCCAGAGCCTTTGGGAGTAACTGGGAAGCCCTAAAGGACACTGGGACCTCATCGAGAGCCTTTGGGAGTAACTGGGAGTCCCTGGGAGCTACTGGGGAGTAACTGGGAAGCCCTAAAGGACACTGGGACCTCATGGAGAGCCTTTGGGAGCTACTGGGAGTAACTGGGAAGCCCTAAAGGACACTGGGACCTCATGGAGAGCCTTTGGGAGCTACTGGGAGTAACTGGGAAGCCCTAAAGGACACTGGGACCTCATCAAGAGCCTTTGGGAGCTACTGGGAGTAACTGGGAAGCCCTAAAGGACACTGGGACCTCATTGAGAGCCTTTGGGAGCTACTGGGAGTAACTGGGAAGCCCTAAAGGACACTGGGACCATATTAAGAGCCTTTGGGAGCTAATGGGGGCTACTGGGAGTAACTGGGAAGCCCTAAAAGCAACTGGGAAGTGCTTGGGGCTTTTCTCCTTCCCCACTTCCCTCTTCCTTAACCAGATCCGTATCCCGATGCTTTTCCAGCGCCGAACCGCGGCCGCGAAGAGCAGCGGCGTTGGGGAACGGAATGGTCCAAACCCCCCCCCTATATCCATAGGGAATGTCTCGGCTATCCCAATCCAGCCAATCCCGGGCTATCAACAAAGCCCCAAGCCCGGCCCCTCGGCGTTGGAATTCGCTGCTCAACCCTATGGAACGCGGCCGATGACGGCGCTCGGCCCTGCCTATCCCTGCCTGTTCCTCGCCAATCCCAAACGGGAGCCTCCTCCCCGGCTCGACCAGTTTGGAACTGGGATGCGGAGGACCCGGGCTCTGGGGCTGCCCCCGTGGCGCCGGAGCCGTTTTGGGTTTCAGCAAAAAAAAAAAGAAAAAAAACCCGGCTGAAATCGGGCAAATTTGGGGTTTTTTTTGTATTAAAGAGGATTTTCTCGTTTTCCCGAAGGGAATCTGTGTTAAATCAGTGGGAAAGCCGGGAATTTCATCTGTGGGTGGGTTAAACCGGGATCAGCCCCACTGCGGGGTAGATAATGGGGCGGAATTCCTTCCATCCTGGGGTTTATCCCAGTTTGATCCCGTTATTGATCGTGGGGAATCGGGAATTAAGGGGAGGAAATGATGCGGTGGCACCGAAAGGATGGACTGGGGGGGGGTGGTCAATGCAAATGAGGAGAGGAGGGGGCGTGGTGTATGCTAATGAAGGCGGTGTGAATGCTGCTCTGTTGGTAAGTGGGCGCGGTGTATGCTAATGAGTGCCAGTCAATTGGCATGGGGCATGGACCCTGGCCGTAGATGGGGAGGGGGCATGGCTTATGCTAATACAAGGCTATGCTGGGCGTGGTTTAAGCTAATAGGGGCGTGGCTTATGCCAAAACATTGCTGTGGGCCTGTGTTGGGACTTGGGGGGCGTGGCCTGCGCTAATATACGATCGGGTGGGCGTGGCGTATGCTAATATGCAGACACAGAGCGTGGTTTATGCTAATATATGTATATAAGGGCGTGGCTTTTGCCAGTACATTGCTGTGGGGCCACGGTGTGTGCTCAAACAGACTTTGGAGGCGTGGTGTATGCTAATAATATGTGTGACATATGCTAATATAGACACGGAGGGGCGTGGCGCACCCTTATAAGGGTCTGAGAGGGCGTGGCTTATGCTAATAGACACGCTGAGTTGCTTATGCATTTTAATAAGGTTCCGAGGGGGCGTGGCTTATGCTAATATAGACACGGAGGGGCGTGGTGTATGCTAATATAGGCACGGCACGGCTCGGAGCATGCTCATTGAAGTCAGAGGGGGCGTGGCTTATGCTAATATAGGCGCTGAGTTGCTTATGCATGCTCATACGGGTCTGAGGGGGCGTGGTTTATGCTAATGTAGACACGGAGGGGCGTGGATCATGCTCATAAGAGTCAGAGGGGGCGTGGCTTATGCTAATATCGGTGCTTGCACACCCTTATAAGGGTCTGAGGGGGCGTGGCTTACGCGAATATAGACACGGAGGGGCGTGGCGCACGCTCATAAGACTCAGAGGGGGTGTGGCTTATGCTAATAGAGGCGCTAGGTTGATTATGCACCCTCATAAGAGTTACAGGGGGCGTGGCTTATGCTAATAGAGGCGCTGAGTTGCTTATGCACGCTCATAAGAGTTAGAGGGGCGTGGCTTATGCTAATATAGACGCGGAGGGGCGTGGCGCACACGTATAAGGTCCTGGGGGGCGTGGCTTATGCTAATAGAGTCTCTGAGCAGCTTTCGCACGCTAATAAGGTCCTGAGGGGGCGTGTCGTATGCTAATATGAGCGCGGAGGGGCGTGGCGTAGCCTAAATTAGGCGCGGAGGGGCGTGCCCTGCCTTCGCACGGCACATGGGCGTGTCCTTCTCCATATACGGCGCCGAGGTGGGCGTGGTTTATGCTAATAGAGGCGCTGAGTTGCTTATGCATGCTCATAAGGGACTGAGGGAGCGTGGCGTATGCTAATATAGGCGCTTGCACACCCTTATAAGGGTCTGAGGGGGCGTGGCTTATGCTAATATAGACACGGAGGGGCGTGGCTTGTGCTAATATAGACACGGAGGGGCGTGGCGCACGCTCATAAGACTCACAGGGGGCGTGGCTTATGCTAATAGAGGCGCTGAGTTGCTTATGCACGCTCATAAGAGTTAGAGGGGCGTGGCTTATGCTAATATAGACACGGAGGGGCGTGGATCATTCTCATAAGAGTCAGAGGGGGCGTGGCTTATGCTAATAGAGGCGCTGAGCTGCTTGCCCACCCTTCTAAGGTCCTGAGGGGGCGTGTCGTATGCTAATATGAGCGCGGAGGGGCGTGGCGTAGCCTAAATTAGGCGCGGAGGGGCGTGCCCTGCGTTCTCACGGCACATGGGCGTGTCCTTTCCATATACGGCACGGAGAGGGGCGTGGTTTATGCTAATAGAGGCGCTGAGTTGCTTATGCATGCTCATAAGGGTCTGAGGGAGCGTGGCGTATGCTAATATCGGCGCTTGCACACCCTTATAAGGGTCTGAGGGGGCGTGGCTTACGCTAATATAGACACAGAGGGGCGTGGCTTGTGCTACTATAGACACGGAGGGGCGTGGCGCATGCTCATAAGACTCAGAGGGGGCGTGGCTTATGCTAATAGAGGCGCTGAGTTGCTTATGCACGCTCATAAGAGTTAGAGGGGCGTGGCTTATGCTAATATAGACACGGAGGGGCGTGGATCATGCTCATAAGAGTCAGAGGGGGCGTGGCTTATGCTAATAGAGGCGCTGAGCTGCTTGCCCACCCTTCTAAGGTCCTGAGGGGGCGTGTCGTATGCTAATATGAGCGCGGAGGGGCGTGGCGTAGCCTAAATTAGGCGCGGAGGGGCGTGCCCCGCGTTCGCACGGCACATGGGCGTGTCCTTTCCATATACGGCACGGAGAGGGGCGTGGTTTATGCTAATACCGCCCAGCGCGGGGGGGCGGTGTTTGTGTGTGTATTCCTCACCCCCCCCCCTTTTCCCTTTGCCCCCCCCCATGTAGGACCCCCCCTTCTGTATTCTAGGGTTGCCCCGTACCGCGCCTGCCTCCCCTTCCCTTCATCTCGGCACCGGCGCTGGGATCAGGCACCGCGTTGAACCTCTAAGTGTCGGTGCCCGGCGGGGTCCTTGCGTGCGCCGCCCGTGCGGGGATGTCCGGGAGACCCCGCGCCGGGCGCTGCTCAGACACCACGGTGAGTCCCTCACAATGCAGCGATTTCGCCTTAAATCGCTTTAACCGAGGCCGAGGCCACCGGAGCCTTTTCCCCCCCGGCCCGGACAACGCCGCCGCCGCCGCCGTCGTTCCCCGCTCCTTGCGCCTCTCCCCAAGCACCCTCCGAGCCTCAGCCCCTGAGGCCCGGCCCCGCCGCTTCAACAACCCCCCCCCCCCCCTTTCCTTCTCCTCCTCCTCCTCCTTCACCTCCATCCCGCTCCTCCTTTCCTCCCGCTACCGGACCGGCCTCTTCCTCCCGGGGCGGGCATGGTTGTGTGGGTGCCCCCCCCCCCAACCCCCCCCACCCTCTTCCCGAACCCAAAACCACACTGTTTCAACCCAAAACCCCACTATTCCAACCCGAAATCCCCGTATTCCAACCCAAAATCATCCTTATTCCAACCCAAAATCATCCTTATTCCAACCCAAAATCCTCCTTACTCCAACCCAAAATCATCCTTATTCCAACCTACTCCCCCCCTTATTCCAACCTAAAATCCCCCTTATTCCAACCTAACCCCCCCCTTATTCCAACCCCAAATCCCCCTTATTCCAACCTAAAATCTCCCTTATTCCAACCTAACACCCCCTTATTCCAACCCAAAATCCCCCTTATTCCAACCTAAAATCCCCCTATTCCAACCTACCCCCCCCTTATTGCAACCTAACTCCCCACTTATTCCAACCTAACCCCCCACATTCCAACCTAAAATCCCCCTATTCCAACTCACCCTCCCCATTCCAACCTAACCCCCCCTTATTCCAACCGAAAATCCCCCTTACTCCAACCTAAAATTCTCCTTATTCCAACCCAAAATCCCCCTTATTCCAACCTAAAATCCCCCTATTCCAACCTAACCCCCCCACTTATTCCAACCTAAACCCCCCCTAATTCCAACCCCCCCATTCCATTTTACCCCCCCCATTTCAACCCAAAATCCCCCTATTCCAACCTAAAATCCCCCCAATTCCAACCTAGATTCTCCCTTATTCCAACCTAACCCCCCCTTATTCCAACCTACCCCCCCTCTTATTCCAACCCCAAAATCCCCCCTTATTCCACCCCGCTCCCCCTCCCACTTCCCACCCGTATCCCACCGGGAAGCGCCTTATCCTGGAGGAGCATAACGATAAGGAAAGGGGGGTGTGAACGGTTGGGTGCCCCCCCCAATCCCGCTCCTCCTCTTCCCATGGGATGCACACGGGTGGGAAGCAGAAGATTGGGATTAACCCCCCCCCCCCCCCCCCCCCCGTTACCGGGGTTGCCACTGGAAAACCGGGAATGCCGCGCTCCGGCCTAGCAGTGCCAAACGGAGCCATTCCCGAGCATGGGAATGGCTTGCTCCTGGGTGGGATTTTTGGGATCGACGTGGCTTTTTGGGATGCTTAAATCCCCCCCCCAACCCCGAGCTGAATAAAGGACATTGGCTGCTCCTCAAACCCTTCTTCTAGTTGTCATTTCCCCTGCTCCGCTGCCAGGTATCCCACCTTTCCCCATGGATAATCCCGGCTCCGTCATTCCCAAATCCCCGCCGGTTTTCCCTCTCGTTTGCTCGCAGTCATTCCCTGTATCCCCCCCCCCCCCCCCCCTCCGTTTGTAGTGGGTTTTTCCCTCTTGGAATGCCGCCTGGCTTCGGTTGTGCCCATCCAGTTGGGTTTCCTGGATCCCAAGGGAAACTGAGGCAGCGCCAGGCTTTGGCATCCTGGTGGGATGGGGAAAGGAGCATCAAGGATTGGGCTGAGCTTTGGGTTTATTAGCTATTATTTATGAGTTATGAGCTGTTATTAATGTCCTTATCGCTGTCGTCGTCGTTATTATCGGTAGTGGCTGTGTTTGCATCATTATTGGCAGTATTGACATCGTTATTAGCAGTATTTGCAGCATTGTTAGCAGTTTTTGCAGCATTATTAGCTGCAAAAATACTTTTTAGCAGTATTTGCAGCGTTATTGGGAGTATTTGCGTCGTTATTAGCAGTATTTGCAGCATTATTAGCAGGATTTCCATCATTATTAGGAGTATTTACATCATTATTAGGAGTATTTCCATCATTATTAGGAGTATTTACATCATTATTAGGAGTATTTACATCATTATTAGGAGTATTTACCTCATTATTAGGAGTATTTCCATCATTATTAGGAGTATTTACCTCATTATTAGGAGTATTTCCATCATTATTAGGAGTATTTCCATCATTATTAGGAGTATTTCCGCCATTATTAGGAGTATTTACATCATTATTAGCAGTATCTGCAGTGTTATTAGCAGTATTTGCAGCATTATTAGCAATATTTTAGCATTGTTAGGTGTATCTACATCATTATTAGGAGTATTTTCATCAGTAGTAGTAGTATTTCCCTCGTTATTAGCAGCATTTTCATCATTATAACCAGTATTTGCATCACTATTAGCAGTATTTTCGTTGTTATCACCGGTATTTCCATTGCTGTTAGAAGTATTTCCATCCCTCTAACGAATGTTGTTATCACTATTAGCAGTATTCCCATCATTATTAGCAGTATTCCTATTGTTATTAGCAGTGTTTCCATCACTATTAGCTATATTTACATCATTATTAGCAGTATTTCTATCCTTATAACCAGTATTTTTATCACTATTAGCAGTGTTTCCATCACTATTAGCGGTATTAGCATCATTATTAGCAGTATTTCCATCGTTATTAGCCGTATTTCCATCCTTATAGCTAGTGTTTTTATCACTATTAGCAGTATTCCCATCGTTACTAGCAGTATTCCCATTGTTATTAGCTGTATTCCCATCGTTATAACCAGTGTTGTTATCACTATTAGCAGTATTCCCATCGTTATTAGCAGTCTTTCCATCACTATTAGCAATATTTACATCATTATTAGCAGTATTTCTGTCCTTATGACCAGTGTTGTTATCACTATGAGCAGTGTTTCCATCACTGTGAGTGGTATTAGCATCATTATTAGCAGTATTTCCATCGTCATTAGCCGTATTTCCATCCTTATAGCTAGTGGTTTTATCACTATTAGCAGTATTTCCATCATTATTAGCCATATTTCCATCCTTATAGCTAGTGTTTTTATCACTATTAGCAGTATTTCCATCGTTATTAGCAGTGTTTCCATCACTATTAGCAATATTTACATCATTATTAGCAGTATTTCTGTCCTTATGACCAGTGTTGTTATCACTATGAGCAGTGTTTCCATCACTGTGAGTGGTATTAGCATCATTATTAGCAGTATTTCCATCGTTATTAGCCATATTTCCATCCTTACAGCTCGTGGTTTTATCACTATTAGCAGTATTTCCATTGTTATTAGCAGTGTTTCCATCACTATTAGCAATATTTACATCATTATTAGCAGTATTTCTGTCCTTATGACCAATGTTGTTATCACTATGAGCAGTGTTTCCATCACTATGAGTGGTATTAGCATCATTATTAGCAGTATTTCCATCGTTATTAGCCGTATTTCCATCCTTATAGCTAGTGTTTTTATCGCTATTAGCAGTATTTCCATCGTTATTAGCAGTGTTTCCGTCACTATTAGCAATATTTACATCATTATTAGCAGTATTTCTATCCTTATGACCAGTGTTGTTATCACTATGAGCAGTGTTTCCATCACTGAGTGGTATTAGCATCATAATTAGCAGTATTTCCATCGTTATTAGCAGTATTTCCATCCTTATAGCTAGTGTTTTTATCACTGTTAGCAGTATTTCCATCGTTATTAGCAGTATTTCCATTGTTATTAGCAGTATTTCCATCATTATTAGCTGTATTTCCATCGTTATAACCAGTGTTGTTATCACTATTAGCAGTATTCCCATCATTATTAGCGATATTCCCATCATTATCAGCAGTATTATCATCACTGTTATCAGTGTTTTCGTTGTTATCACTACTATTTCCATTGCTATTAGCAGTATTTCCATCATTATTAGCCGTATTTCCATCCTTACAACCAGTGTTTTTATCACTATTAGCAGTATTTCCATTGCTATTGGCCATATTAGCATCATTATTAGCAGTATTTCCATCTTTATTGGCAGTGTTTTCATTATTACCGGTATTTGCACTGCTATTACCAGTGTTTTCATCATTATTAGTAGTATTTTCATCACTATTAGCAGTATTATCAGCATTATTACCACTATTTCCATTGTTATTACTTGTATTTCCATTGTTGTTATTAGTATTTCCACCATTATTAGTAGTATTTCCATCATTGTTAGTAGTATTTTCATCATTATCAGTAGTATTTTCATCATAACTACCAGTAGTTCATTGCTAGTAGCAGTATTAGCATCATTATTAGTACATTATGACCGTTATTCCCACTATTAGCACCGTTATTCCTATTATTAGCACCGTTATTCCTACTATTAGTACTGTTATTCCCACTATTCCCACCGTTATTCCTACTATTAGTACCGTTATTCCTACTATTAGTACCGTTATTCCCACTATTAGTACCGTTATTCCCACTATTAGCACCGTTATTCCTACTATTAGCACTGTTATTCCCACTATTACCACCGCTATTCCTACTATTAGCACCGTTATTCCCGCTATTAGCACCGTTATTCCTACTATTAGCACCATTATTACCACTATTAGCACTGTAATTCCTGCTATTAGCACCGTGATTCCTGCTATTATCCCCTGAGTAAGTGAATGGAGCCCATAGGCCTGTGTTGTATCCTTGGAGTAAGTAAATGGAGCCCATAGGCCTGTGTTGTATCAATGGAGTAAGTGAATGGAGCCCATAGGGGCGTGTTGTATCCATGGAGTAAGTGAATGGACCCCATAGGAATGTGTTGTATCCTTGGAGTAAGTGAATGGAGCCCATAGGCCTGTGTTGTATCCTTGGAGTAAGTGAATGGAGCCCATAGGAATGTGTTGTATCCTTGGAGTAAGTGAATGGAGCCCATCGGGGCATGTTGTATCCTTGGAGTAAGTGAAAGGAGCCCATAGGAATGTGTTGTATCCTTGGAGTAAGTGAATGGAGCCCATAGGCCTGTGTTGTATCCTTGGAGTAAGTGAATGGAGCCCATAGGCCTGTGTTGTATCCTTGGAGTAAGTGAATGGAGCCCATAGGCCTGTGTTGTATCCATGGAGTAAGTGAATGGAGCCCATAGGCCTGTGTTGTATCCTTGGAGTAAGTCAATGGAGCCCATAGGCCTGTGTTGTATCCGTGGAGTAAGTGAATGGAGCCCGTAGGTCTGTGTTGTATCCTTGGAGTAAGTGAATGGAGCCCATAGGAACGTGTTGTATCCATGGAGTAAGTGAATGGAGCCCATAGGAACGTATTGTATCCTTGGAGTAAGTGAATGGAGCCCATAGGAGTGTGTTGTATCCATGGAGTAAGTGAATGGAGCCCATAGGCCTGTGTTGTATCCATGGAGTAAGTGAATGGAGCCCATAGGCCTGTGTTGTATCCTTGGAGTAAGTGAATGGAGCCCATAGGAACGTGTTGTATCCTTGGAGTAAGTGAATGGAGCCCATAGGAACGTGTTGTATCCATGGAGTAAGTGAATGGAGCCCATAGGCCTGTGTTGTATCCTTGGAGTAAGTAAATGGAGCCCATAGGCCTGTGTTGTATCCTTGGAGTAAGTGAATGGAGCCCATAGGGGCGTGTTGTATCCATGGAGTAAGTGAGTGGAGCCCATCGGGGCGTGTTGTATCCATGGAGTAAGTGAATGGAGCCCATAGGAATGTGTTGTATCCTTGGAGTAAGTGAATGGAGCCCGTAGGAACGTGTTGTATCCATGGAGTAAGTGAATGGAGCCCATAGGAACGTGTTGTATCCATGGAGTAAGTGAATGGAGCCCGTAGGAACGTGTTGTCTCCCATCCATATGGATGCGCTCCTGGCCGAATTCCCATCTGGAGGGGGTGCTTCCCACCTGGATTTGGGCACATTCCTCTTTTTCCTTTTCTTTCTTCCGGCCGTTTCCTTTCCCGATCCCTCCCCTTGCACGCTGAGAACTTGGAATTCCGCGGTGGGAAAAAGGAATTCCCCCAGCCTCCAGTTTTCCCTGCTGGAAAACCACTGCTCTCATCCCAAACCCCGGAATTACGGCTGGAAAACCACTGGGAGCTGCTCCTCGGTTTCCTGCTGAACCGGGAATGGCGTTTCCAGCCCGGGAATCCCATTCCTCCTCGGCACAACAAGGGTTTTTCCACTTGGAAATCCAGCGCTTTGCTTCCCGTTGGCTTCCTCCTCCCAAGGGAATGCGAGCCTGGAAGTGATTTGAGTCAATGGATGCATCCCAAAGCCTTTTCCTGCCGCCCTACAAACCGAGGAGGAATTCCTAACGGGAATGTGGCTTCTCCCGGAGCAGGGATAGGCGGTGTCCGTCTTTCCATCCCTACGGATGGGATCCAACGGGCTGGAAGTGCCAAACCTCAGCTCCTCGCTGCCGTGAGGAATAAGAAGCTGGGATGACGGTGATGCCAGGATGTGGGAATGCCAATGGGAATGGAGGAGGAGCAGCTGGAGACAGTGTTTTCCTTTAGGAATCCTCCCTGTAACAAACTTGGGGTCGGGATTCCTGAATTCCATTCGTGTTATCAAGGCAGAATTCCTCAGCGCTGGAATCTTCCAGCTGTCAAATGGGTGCAATATTCCCAACATCCCGAGGAGTTGGGGCTGTTTTGTTCTAGGCATGGCCCAAACCATTCCCGGGATGTGCAACCGGAGCTGGGTTTATAGGGAAGCGCCTCTTTGGGAAGCGATTCCCGTCTCTTCAGGGCATCTTGATCCCATGGAATTCCCACCTTCAGCCTCTTTAAGTGGCTCCTTTCCGATCCTTATGGTTCCAGTTTGTCCCGGAAGAGGGAAAATCCTTGCAGCTGGAATAATTCAGGAATAAGAGAGTCATTGGTGAGGAGGAATAGCCCAGGGAGAAGAGTGGGCTTAAGGAATTCCAGCAGCTGGGAATGCCGGTTCAGGTTTGAGTGCAGCGATGGATTTGTGCGTCCCTATGGAGCTCTGTCTTGTATTCCAGAGTTTATCCCTCTTGCTATTCCCTGTTTCTGGATCTCCCGGATGAGGTGATGGTTTTCCCTGTTCCGGATCCATTCCCTCACCTCCCAGGCCTGGAAAACCGGGATGTTCCATTGGATACAAGCGCTTTCCTCTTAGCCCGTGCCAGTGAGGGTTATTCCAAAGAGGAATTCCGTGTATAACCTGATCCCTGCTTTGGTGATGTTGTGATGGTGCTAGGAGGATTGATGGAATTGTCGGGATGGAGGCATGGAAGTAAATCCCATCGGGAGACCAACGGGATGTGGGAGCCCGGATTTGAGCTTTAGTGGTTTGGAATAGCCTGGAATTCCCAAATCCAGCAGGATCCTTTTGGAAGGGAAACAGACCCCGGCGCTGCTTATCCCTCATATAGCTCCCAGTTTCTGGAATGGGGCTGTGGGGTGTGTTGTTTCCATCGGAATGTGAGCGTTGGGATGGGTTTCCAAAGGGATCCTTCCCTTCAATCCCAGTGGGAGAAGCTGAGGCCGCAGCATTCCCGCACTGAAATGGAGATTTCCTCCATTCCTGGTGGGATTCCCGGTGGGATTCCTGCTGACTCTGCCCATCCCTCAAGCGGGAAATGGGAATTCCCAGCTTCCTTCTGCAGGGAAGTGGGAATTCCCAGTTTTTTTTCCCTGCTGGAAGATGCCTTTGTTGTTGGGAGGTTTGTCCTTCTCATCCTTCTTTTGCGTTATCCATCAGGATGCTGGAAAAAAGAAGGGAATACCGGGAATTCCCTATTCCCTTGTTCTTGTCATTCCATGCTTGAGTGATGCTGATGCCCTTTGGTGCCACCCGGAGCTGTCAGAAACCAGGGAATTCCCATTTTTCCCCCCTCTCTGGAATAGCAGCTGCACATCCTTGGACCTGGAATGAGTCTGGATGTTGGGATAATGGGAATGGGAAGAGAAATGGAGGCTTCTGCTGGTGCTCTTGGGCTTTGGTGGCTTCTTGGGTGCTTTTATCCATGGCCTTGGTAAGCCTGAGGAATGTTGGGATGGGTTGGGATGGGAAGGAGCTGGAATCATCCAGATCCAACCCACAGGGACACCGGCCATAGGGCAGGCTGCTCCTTGGGCACGGCCAGGGATGGAGCATCCCAACCTGCTCCATCCAACCCATCCTCATCGGAAGAGCTTCATCCCAAGAGCCCATCCAGCTCCTCCATCATCTCCTCAATCCCATCCCATCCATCCCGTGTCCAAAGCCCCTCTCCAGGTCTCCTGATGTTGGGAAGCCCAAAACTGGTCCCAGTGCTCCCATAGGACACAACGGGGAGCTCCCATAGGACACACTGGGAAGCTCCCATAGGATGCAATGGGGAGCTCCCATAGGACACAGTGGGAAGCTCCCATAGGACACAACGGGGAGCTCCTATAGGACGCAATGGGGAGCTCCTATAGGACGCAGTGGGGAGCTCCCATAGGACACAATGGGAAGTTCCTATAGGACACAGTGGGGAGCTCCCATAGGACACAATGGGGAGCTCCCATAGGACACAGTGGGAAGTTCCCATAGGACACAGTGGGAAGTTCCCATAGGACACAATGGGGAGCTCCCATAGGACACAGTGGGGAGCTCCCATAGGACGCAATGGGAAGTTTCTATAGGACACAGTGGGGAGCTCCCATAGGACACAGTGGGGAGCTCCCATAGGACACAGTGGGGAGCTCCCATAGGACACAACGGGCTGTTGGTGGCTCCCATGCAGCTTCTCCTCACCTAGCATCCCAAATCCTTCTCCTCGGGGCTGCTCCATCCCTTCTCCTTGGCCTTGGAATTGCCCCAGGAGCAGGAGCTGGTTGAGCTCTGGGAGCTGCTCCAGGTGGGATGGATTCCCAATGATGTGCTGTGGGTCCATCACTTGAGTGCCCTCATTGGCTCTTCCATGATCATGGAATGGTGGAGGTTCCAGTTGGGTCTTCATGAACTCCCTCTGGGCTTGGAAGCCCCTTTCCAAAGGGAATTTGGGCTTTGGATTCACTCCTGGAGCTGGGAAGCTCCTTGTCTCCGGGTGCTATGGGATGGCCTCAGCTTCCCAAGAGTGATCCCAAAGTTGCTGTCACACCCCCCGCATTCCAATCTTTATCCCTGAGGATTATCCCAAGGGCCCCTGTTGCTGTTACCGCACCCACATCCTGTGGGCTGGAATTCCTAAACCCCGTTCCCTTTCCCGGTGCCGTCGCCTTGTCTGTGGTTCAGTTTTCCTAATGGGATAATCTGGGAATTGGGAGCAGGAAACTGTTCATGGGAGCAGAATTCTCCAGCCTTGGAGCTTTCACCGTTCCCGTTATCCATGGAATTCCATAGCTTATCCTGAACATAATTGCAATGGAAGTTGGGTTGTCCAAAGGCAGGATCTTCATCCGAGTGGAGCTTCAATGAGGTTCTCCACTTCCTTGACTTGCATTGATGGATCCAGCTCTCAGCTTGTGGAATTCCACCTTCAGTCCCACCTTCCCAAGGGAAAACGCTTCCAAATGCTTTGGCCATAGGGAAAACTGTGGGATCAAACCATAAGATGGGCCTGGGGGTGCTGGGATGTGGCTGGATCCAGATCCTGGAGGATTCAGGACCATGGTGTGGGTCCGTGTGGGTGAAACCAAGGCCCGGGCATTCGAGTTTGGATTCTATGGATGCAACTGGGAGAACTGGTGATGGAATCCAAGTGGAGATGGGTTGAGTGACCACAGAGGAGGCTGAGGCTTGGTTGGGCCCTGGGATGGGGTGTTTGGGATGAGGGAATCCCACGGGATGTAACGTTGGTGCCTTTGCTCTTTGCAGTTGACATGGATGATGAAGACGGCCGGTGCCTGCTAGATGTAATCTGGTGAGTAGCTCCCTCAGCTTCCCGTATGGAATGGGATGGGAATTCCACCCCCTTGGTCCATAGGCACATCCCCAGAGGCCTAAAGTCATCCCCAGATCCCAAAATCCCTCCTGCATTGATGGGATTTGCTTCCCAGCCTGGAGGTTTTCGTGGCTCCATGCCATGAGGAAGAGGCTCCACTCATCCCTTGAGCCACTTCCAACATGGATCGATCTCATTTCTCCACTCTTTTGCCATAAAATAAGGGCTTTTGGGGATCTCTACACGTTAAGATGATGCCAGACTGTTGGTCAGCGGATGGTCCAATGGGATTTATGGTGATCCAGGAAGTTGCTGGGAAGTGGGGCTGGAAGCGTGGCCCCGTGTCCATGTGGTGTCTTGTTTTACAGCGATCCTCAGGCCTTGAACGACTTCCTCCATGGATCTGAAAAGGTGAGAGATGGAATTTCCATTCCCAACCCCTTCCCACTCCATTCCCAAACTTGGAATTGCCCAACCCCTGCCCAGATTCACCCCAAACCATTTCCCAAACCCTTCTCAATCCATTCCCAACCCTTTTCCCAACCCCTTCGCAATCCATTCCCAAACCCAGTCTTCCCCAGGCTCATTCCCAAACCTTTCCCCACCAGCCTCCCTTTGTAAAGGGAGTTTTCCTTCCTTCAAAGAAGGGGATTTTCCTAAAGTCATTCCCAAATCCAGGATCCTTGGAGTTTTTAGGACCTGGGGGGAGCCCAACCAACGTTCTGGCACCTCTTGGAGGGATTTGGGATCACTTGGAGCTGATCCGGAGCCGGGAAGCGCTTGGTGCTTCCCACACATCCACATTGAGCCATTTTTTCCCATAGTTTTCCTCATTTTGGGATCCATCTTTTCTCCCAGGAGAGTAAATCCCATCTTTTCCCATTGCAGATTGACAGTGATGATCTCCTGGACAACACCGGAGATGCAGCCAGCTCCTTCTTTGAAGGTGCTGGGGTACGTACTTCCATGGACACAGTATTCCCTTTAGGAATGTTCCCTTTCATGTAGGGGGGGGTGGTCATCTCCTATCGTTATTTTGCTGGGAATGGGATTATTCCCTAAGGAAACAATAAGCCTCCAATTCCTCTTTTTGGGGCTTTTCCCCCAAAATTTGGGTTATTCTGCATGAAATTCCCGAGTTTTTGGTTCCCCCTTTAATTTCTTCATTCCCAATTATGAGAAATCTTGACTTAACCATTAATTATTAATGATGAATTAATTAATAATGATTAATGGTTAATGTGGCTCTTCCCTTTATTCCTCACCCCTGCGCCGCTTCCATTCCCTTCCCCTCCGCTCGCCGCTTGGGCTGGATTCCCACCAGCTCCCGGTGGCATTCCCAACCCTGCTTCCCAAATGGGATCCCAATTTGGCTTCCTGGAGCTTTTCCATTCGCTTGGGGGGGGGGGGGGGGTGTCTTCTTCCTATCCCCTCCACCTCCATGAGGAAGGGGTTGGTTTCTCCTTGGATGGGAGATGCCCATTCAAGGGGTGGTGGATGCGGGTTGAAGGCATCTCCCCATGCTTGAGTTCAGCGCCGCCTTCTCTCTCAGCTCCACGTCCAGGAGGCCTCTGGGAACCACCTCAGCACGGAGCAGAACCAACCGGCGGCCAGCGTGGACCTGGACTTCTTAGAAGATGACATCTTGGGGTCCCCATCCAGCACCGGGGCCAACCTGGCCAACGCGGACCAGCCCTGCGACATCCTCCAGCAGAGCCTCCAAGAGGCCAACATCACCGAGCAGACCCTGGAAGCAGAAGCTGAGCTGGACCTGGGCTCCTTCCAGCTCCCCACCCTCCAACCCGTGGTGCAGGCGACGTCCGACGGCACCCCCCAGATCTTCTCCGGTGGGGCCGACCTCATCGGGCTGCAGCAACCCACGGTGCTCACCCACCAAGCGCTGGTGCAGCAGTCGGTGGGGGCCGACGTGGTCAACAAGGCCATCAGCGTCCAGCCCTTCCTGCAGCAGGTCGGGTTGGGGAACGTCACCATCCAACCCATCTCCAACCTTCAAGGCTTGCCCAACGGCAGCCCCAGCGGGACCTTGGGCATCGGGCCCATCCAAGTGGTGGGGCAGCAAGTGATGGCCATCAACCAGTCGGCGCAGCAGATCATCGCCAAGCAGGTCCAACCGTCCCAAGTGGCCACCATGCCCGTCGGGAGCTACATCACCCAACCAGCACCCGAGCAGCAACAGGTCACCCTGGCCTCAACGGGGGTCTCTCCTCAAGGTGCCGGTCTCGTCATCCAGAAGAACCTGCCCACGGTGGCCACCACGACGCTCAATGGCAATTCCATGTTCGGAAGCGTCGCCGGCACTCAAGGCTCCCAACCTCTCACCGTCACCTCCAACCTGAGCAGCCCTTTGGTGCAAGCCCAGAACGTCATCATCCATAGGACGCCGACCCCCATCCAACCCAAACCTGCCGGCGTCCTCCAGCAGAAGCTCTACCAGATCACCCCCAAGCCCTTTGCTTCCAACAACACCACTTTGACCATCCAGAACGAAGCCGCCCTCCAGCAGCAGAAGGCCCAACAGAACCTCACCTTCATGGCCAGCAAACCGGGGCAGAACGTGGTCCTCTCGGGCTTCCCCCAAGGCCTCCCAGCCAACGTCTTCAAGCAACCCCCACCCCAGCAGCAAGCCCTCAGCAAACCCATGAGCGTCCACTTGTTGAACCAGGGCAGCAGCATCGTCATCCCGGCCCAACACGTCCCTCAGGCCATGCTGCAGGGCCAGAACCAGTTCCTCCTCCCCGGCCAACTGGCCGGTGCCTCCACCGTGCAGCTCCCGCAGCAGCTCTCGGCTCTTCAGGCCAATATGGGCGGCCAGATCTTGACCGCTTCCCATCCTGGTGGCCAAGCCCACATCATCACGAGCCAAGGGCCCGGTGGGCAACTCTTGACCAACCAAGCGTTGCCGGCGCAGCTCCTCACCAACCAGAACATCGCCAGCCCGCTGAACCTAGGCCAGGTCCTGACGTCGCAGAGCGCCCACGGCACCGCTCACATCCTCTCGGCTCCCATCCAGCTCCAGGCTGGCCAAGTGGGCCAACCGGCCCTCTTCCAGATGCCCGTCTCCTTGGCGGGCAGCTTGAGCACCCAAAGCCAACCGGTGATCCAAGGGGTGACCTTGCCCAACCAAGTTGCCATGCTCAACGCCACCGAGAGCATGGGGCAAGCAGTGAGCATCCAACCTTCTGCTGCCACCACCAGCCAAAGCCCTGGCCTTGGGCAAGCGCAGGCAAGCACGGGCACCAACCTGTTGGCCAACACGGAGCCGGCGTCCATCCTGACGGTGCAGACCTCCCAAGCTGCTCCTCTCCAGCTCAACGTCCCGCCGGCACCTCCAAGCCAACCGCCCGTCACTTCCCAAGCCAGCCCCACGTTGGCTTCCAGCCCGGAGAAGATCATCCTGGGACAAGCAGCCCCCGGTGCCGTCATCAACCAGGACTCCATGCAGATGTTCCTGCAGCAGGTAAGGAGAAGCCGGTGTTGGTCTCCAGCTCCCATTGACGTTTGCTTCCACCGCGGTCTCCCAACGGCGTCGTGCTCCTTGCCGTGGTGTCTCTTCGCCACCATCAGGATGGGCTTGGAAGTGGGGCTTGAAGCCGGTGCCTTGGTTTTGGAAGGAGGAACCTCGTGGATGGGGTGGCCCTCACCCCCGTTCTCCTCCGTGTGCAGCTCAGGGTTGATCCCACCTCGTGGTTTTCCACCTCCAGGAGCGTGTTCCAAGTAGTTGGGTGGCTCTAGGGGTGATGGTGGTTGGGCCCCACCATTGGATGGGTTGGGGAGGGGGGGTCCAGTGGTGGTTGTGGGCATCTGCGTTGGGAAGGGCTTTGGGGACGTCTTGGATACCGGGTTTGATCCCTAAACTCCTCCGGTGGAAGTGCTTGAGCTATGAGAGGGAGGAATGGGATGAGAGCAGGAGCTCTCATCGGTGGTCATGGCATCTCAATGGTGGGAAGCTTCAGCTCCCCCTTTGACCTTGCTGGGGTTGCAGGAACTCTCAGCCCCCCGGAGATGTTGGGAATCATGGAATTGGGTTGGGAAGGAGCCGGAGATCATCCAGATCCAACCCACAGGGGCACCTTCCATAGGGTTGCTCCAACCTGGCCTTGATGGCGCTGGAGCATCCAAACCTTCTCCATCCAACCCATCCCGGTGTCCCACCACCCTCATAGGGAAGAGCTTCCTTCCAATTCCTCCTCATCCCATCCCTCCATCCCGTGTCCAGAAATTCCCGGTCTCCCGGAATTGGACTTGCCCCATGGGCAGGCCCTTGCCCTTGGAACTGCTTGAGCTCCATGAGGTTCTCCTGCTCCCACCTCTCCGTGTTCCTCTGGATCCCCCTTGTCCATGGATCCCCCTTTCTCCACGGGGCATTCCCAATGAGTGGAGTGGGAAGAGCACAGGGCTATGCCTCCAATCCCACTTTTCCCTACGTAACCAATGGAAGCTCCATGGTTTTACCAGGGTGGGAAGAGGGAAGCAGGATGCTCCCTCCACAGCTGGAATTGGATGGCACTTTTCTGCTCCATGGCGGGGGTTCACCCCTTGTGCTTCCAAAGCCCAATTCCCAGTGGAATTGGGAATTCCCAATTCCCGAGGTGGGCTCGGGAATGAGCGAGCTGCAACCGAAGCGGGGCCAAAATCCTTCCCCTTCCCATTGTCCATCCCTCCATCCCTCCCTCCCTCCATCCCTCCATGCATCCCAAGCTCCGGCTGCTCCCGCTTGCTTGCAAGACTAACTCTCAAGCTGCCGCTTTTCCTTCTCTTCCCATTCCAAAGCCTTGATCCCTCCTTCAAATCCTTCATTTTTCCATAGAAATCAGGATGTATTGATGGGGTGGGGGTGGTCGGGGGGGAGATGTTTGGAAGTGGAGTGCAATTCCTGGTGGGAATCCTGGTACATCCCTCCCTGCTTCACCCTCAAAGCAGCTGTAAAAGCTCCGGGTGATGCCGGCAGCATTCCCGAGGCTTCCGGCTGATCCCGGAGCCTTCGGGGAGCCGCTTTCAGAGCGGGAATGATCCCGATGGAGCCGGAATTCCTTCCTCAGCTCGCACTAACGTCTTCCTCTTTTCCTTCTCTGTTGCAGCAGAAGCTCCCTGGAGCATCCCCGTCCCCTTCGCTACCTCATCCTCCCCTTGGGGACACCCCGCAGCTCCCGGCTTCCCACCTCTCCCAAATCCCCTCCCGCCCTCCTTCCCAACCCCAACCCCTTTCCCGACCCCCTTCCCAACCCCAATCCCTTTCCCGGCCCCCTTCGGAGCCGCTCGCCCGGCCCTGCACCCCACAAGCCCCCTTGTACCTCATTCCCAACCAGTTATCCTCTTCCTCCTCCTCCTCCTCGCCCTTGGGGGGGGGGCAGCACCCGCTGCGGCCCCCATCCCAACCCCAAGCGGCATTCCCGGCGCCACAACCCGACGCCGAGATCCCCCATTCCCATTCCCCCCACTTCCAGCTGCAATTCCCAACCCAAAGCCAACTCAAACCCCCCGCTCCCGGCCACGCTCTGCACCTAAGCACGGAGCAGCAGAGGAGCTTCCCGATGGTCCCGAGCCAATTCCAAACCCTCCCGGCTCTTCCCAATCCCGCTCCTCAACCGAAGCCAATACTGGACAGGTTCCAGCAGGTAAATAAGCACCATCGAAGTGGGGGGGGGGTGTGGGGTTGAGGCTGGAATGTAGCCACAGACTTCCAGACATCGGGATGCTGAAGGCAAAATGGGAAGCAAAACCCCATGCGGGATGCGGCGCGGCGCCGCTTCCTCGCCTCATTCCCGTTCTTCTTGGGGATGTTTTTCCTTGGGAGAACGTCGGGCATGCCCCATTCCCAGCCCCCTTGGGGGTGGCATTCCCGTTGGGATGCTCTTGGGATCGCTCCGGACAGCAGAGCCTCACTAATGGAAGTGGGGGGGGGGGGGGGGGGACAGGACTGTGGTTTGCCTGTGGGGTACCAGGAATTAACTGGATCCTGGGGGGGGGGTTATTTGCTATTCCCAACGCTGGGAATGCCAAGGACAGCACCGGAGCTGCTTTTCCCGACTGGAATTTGATACCACCCCCACCTTGGATGTGGGTTTGGGAAGGGGGGGATCCTGTGCCCGGGGCTCAGTGCCAGCTTCTTGGCTTCTCCCATTGGAAAAAGCATTGGATTGCAGTGCCGGGGGGGGATTTTGGGGTGCTTTAGGGTGGTTTATGGTGGATTTTGGGGTGGTTTATGGTGTTTATGGTGGATTTTGGGGTGGTTTATGGTGTTTATGGTGGATTTTGGGGTGGTTTATGGTGTTTTAAGGCTTTGTATGGTGGTTTATGGTGTTTATGGTGTATTTTGGGGTGGTTTATAGAGGATTTTGGGGTGGTTTATGGTGGTTTATAGTGGATTTTGGGGTGGTTTATGGTGTTTATGGTGGATTTTGGGGTGGTTTATGGTGTTTCTGGTGTATTTTGGGGTGGTTTATGGTAGATTTTGGGGTGGTTTATGGTGGATTTTGGGGTGGTTTATGGCTTTGTATGGTGGTTTATGGTGTTTCTGGTGTATTTTGAGGTGGTTTATAGAGGATTTTGGGGTGGTTAATGGTGGTTTAAGGATTTTTATGGTGGTTTATGGTGTTTTGGGGTGGTTTATGGTGTTTCTGGTGGATTTTGTGGTCGTTTATGGTGTTTTGGTGGTGCTTTATTGTGTTTCTGGTGGATTTTGGCGTGGTTTATGGTGGTTTAGGGGTGTTTTATGGTGGCTTTGGGGTGCTTTATTGTGTTTCTGGTGGATTTTGGCGTGGTTTATGGTGGTTTAGGGGTGTTTTATGGTGGCTTTGGGGTGCTTTATTGTGTTTCTGGTGGATTTGCGGGTGGTTTCTGTTGGATTTTGGGGTGTTTTGTGGTTTTGGGGTGCTTTATTGTGTTTCTATTGGATTTTGGGGTGTTTTATGGTGGTTTTGGCGTGCTTTATTGTGTTTGTGTTGGATTTTGGGGTGTTTCATGGTGGTTTTGGGGTGCTTTATTGTGTTTCTGTTGGATTTTGGGGTGGTTTATGATGGTTTTGGGGTGCTTTATTGTGTTTCTGTTGTATTTGGGGTTGTTTTATGGTGTTTTTGGGGTGCTTTACAGTGTTTATGGCCTCTCCCCCCACAGGGCATCATCCTGCAGCCGAAGCAGCCCCCGGCCAGCCAGGCCCCCACCGCGCTCGCCCCATTCGGCACCTCGGCCCCCTCGGTGCTGGTGAGTGGCCCGGGGCAACCGGTGACGGTGACGGTGACAACCACGACCACCACAGCCACTGCAGGTGTGTGTGGGGGGTGGCACATGGGAGGGGGGGGCAGGTGCATGAGGGTCCTGGTGCTCGAGGGTCCTGGACCACAAGCATCATGGTGCATGAGCATCATGGTACTCCAATGTCCTGCACCATGAGCATCCTGGTGCACAAGGGTCCTGGACCACAAGCATCATGGTGCATGGGCATCATGGTACACCAGTGTCCTGGACCATGAGCATCCTGGTGCTCGAGGGTCCTGGACCACAAGCATCATGGTGCATGAGCATCATGGTACACCAGTGTCCTGGACCACAAGTATCATGGTGCACAAGCATCATGGTACATGAGCATCATGGTACACCAGTGTCCTGCACCGTGAGCATCCTGTTTCTCAAGGGTCCTGGACCACAAGCATCATGGTGCATGAGCATCATGGTACACCAGTGTCCTGGACCACAAGCATCATGGTGCATGAGCATCATGGTACACCAGTGTCCTGGACCACAAGTATCATGGTGCACAAGCATCGTGGTACATGAGTATCATGGTACACCAGTGTCCTGGACCACAAGTATCATGGTGCACAAGCATCATGGTACATGAGCATCATGGTACACCAGTGTCCTGGACCATGAGCATCCTGGTGCACAAGTGTTCTGGACCACAAGCATCATGGTACATGAGCATCATGGTACACCAGTGTCCTGCACCATGAGCATCCTGTTTCTCAAGGGTCCTGGACCACAAGCATCATGGTGCATGAGCATCATGGTACACCAGTGTCCTGGACCACAAGTATCATGGTCCATGAGCATTATGGTACATGAGTATCATGGTACACCAGTGTCCTGGACCACAAGTATCATGGTGCACAAGCATCATGGTACATGAGCATCATGGTACACCAGTGTCCTGCACCATGAACATCCTGGTGCTCAATGGTCCTGGACCACAAGTATCATGGTGCACAAGCATCATGGTACACGAGCATCATGGTACACCAGTGTCCTGGACCATGAGCATCCTGATGCACAAGGGTCCTGGACCACAAGCATCATGGTGCATGAGCATCATGGTACACCAGTGTCCTGGACCATGAGCATCCTGGTGCACAACCATCATGGTACATGAGTATCATGGTACACCAGTGTCCTGCACCGTGAGCATCCTGTTTCTCAAGGGTCCTGGACCACAAGCATCATGGTCCATGAGTATTATGGTCCACAAGCATCCTGGTGCCCAAGTATCCTGATGCACAAGCATCCTGGTGCACGAGCATCCTGGACCATGAGCATCCCAGTGCACAAGTGTCCTGGACCACAAGTATCATGGTGCACAAGCATCATGGTACATGAGTATCATGGTACACCAGTGTCCTGGACCATGAGCATCCTGGTGCACAGGGGTCCTGGACCACAAGCATCATGGTGCATGAGCATCATGGTACACCAGTGTCCTGCACCATGAGCATCCTGTTTCTCAAGGGTCCTGGACCACAGGCATCATGGTGCATGAGCATCATGGTACATGAGTATCGTGGTACACCAGTGTCCTGGACCATGAGCATCCTGGTGCACAGGGGTCCTGGACCACAAGCATCATGGTACATGAGTATCATGGTACACCAGTGTCCTGCACCATGAGCATCCTGGTGCACAACCATCATGGTGCATGAGCATTATGGTACACCAGTGTCCTGCACCATGAGCATCCTGTTTCTCAAGGGTCCTGGACCACAAGCATCATGGTGCATGAGCATCATGGTACACCAGTGTCCTGCACCATGAGCATCCTGTTTCTCAAGGGTCCTGGACCACAAGCATCATGGTCCATGAGTATTATGGTCCACAAGCATCCTGGTCCCAAGTATCCTGATGCACAAGCATCCTGGTGCACAAGTATCCTGGTTGCATGAGCATCCTGGACCATGAGCATCCCAGTGCACAAGTGTCCTGGACCACAAGCATCATGGTCCATGAGTATTATGGTCCTGGACCATGAGCATCCCGGTGCGTGAGCATCCTGCACCACGAGCATCGCATCCCCTTTATGTTGGGGCTTGAAGCGATGCAAGCAGGGGAGCTGGGATGGGATCCATCAGGATGGAGCCATTGGGATGGATCCATTGGGATGGGATCCATCAGGATGGGATCCCTCGGGATGGATCCATCGGGATGGATCCATTGGCATGGGATCCATTGGCATGGGATCCATTGGGACGGGCTCCATCGGGATGGATCCATTGGAATGGATCCATTGGGATGGGATCCACTGGGATGGGCTCCATCGGGATGGATCCATCGGGATGGATCCATTGGGATGGGATTCATCGGGATGGATCCTTTGGGATGGGCTCCATCGGGATGGATCCATCGGGATGGGCTCCATTGGGATGGGATCCATCGGGATGGATCCATCGGGATGGGATCCATTGGGATGGGCTCCATCGGGATGGATCCATCAGGATGGATCCATTGGGATGGGATCCATTGGGATGGGCTCCATCGGGATGGATCCATTGGGATGGGATCCATCGAGATGGGCTCCATCGGGATGGATCCATTGGCATGGGATCCATTGGGACGGGCTCCATCGGGATTGATCCATCAGGATGGATCCATTGGGATGGGATCCATTGGGATGGGCTCCATCGGGATGGATCCATCTGAATGGATTCATCGGGATGGATCCTTTGGGATGGGCTCCATCGGGATGGATCCATCGGGATGTGATCCTGATCCTTCTCCTGCCGGAACGTGAACCCCTCCTCTTGCTTTCCCTGCGCCAGGAATCACGGCCCCGGCGCCTGCCGAGAGCAAAACCTTTGCCAGTGTTTCCACCGCGATTCCCGCTGGGAAAGGGGCCGTGGCCCAGGGAAAGCCGGGAACGCCGCTCGCCATCCAGCAGCCAGGGCAGGTGAGGGACCCGTTTCCATGGCTTTTCACTGCCTTTCCGGGGTCTCCCGCATTATTCCAAGGCTTTCCTGCATTATCCCAAGGGTTTCCCACATTATCCCAAGGGTTTCCCACATTATCCCAAGGTTTTCCCACATTATCCCAAGGGTTTCCCGCATTATCCCGAGGTTTTCCCACATTATCCCAAGGGTTTCCCGCATTATCCCAAGGCTTTCCCACATTATTCCGAGGGTTTCCCACGTTATCCCAAGGCTTTCCCACATTATCCCAGGGGTTTCCCACATTATCCCAAGGTTTTCCCACATTATCCCAGGGGTTTCCTGCATTATTCCAAGGTTTTCCCACATTATCCCAAGGTTTTCCCACATTATCCCAGTGTCTCCCACATTATCCCAAGGTTTTCCCACATTATCCCAAAGGTTTCCCACATTATCCCAAAGGTTTCCCACATTATCCCAGGGGTTTCCCACATTATCCCAAGGCTTTCCTGCATTATTCCAAGGTTTTCCCACATTATCCCAAGGTTTTCCCACATTATCCCAGGGGTTTCCCACATTATCCCAAAGGTTTCCCACGTTATCCCAAGGTTTTCCCACATTATCCCAAAGGTTTCCCACATTATCCCAAGGCTTTCCCACATTATCCAAAGGGTTTCCGTGCATTATCCCAAGGTTTTCCCACATTATCCCAAGGGTTTCCCGCATTATCCCAAGGTTTTCCCACATTATCCCAAGGGTTTCCCACATTATCCCAAGGTTTTCCCACATTATCCCAAAGGTTTCCCACGTTATCCCAAGGTTTTCCCACATTATCCCAAAGGTTTCCCACATTATCCCAAGGCTTTCCCACATTATCCCGTGGGTTTCCCACGTTATTCCAAGGTTTTCCCACGTTATCCCAAAGGTTTTCCCACATTATCCCAAGGTTTTCCCACATTATCCCAGGGTTTTCCCACATTATCCCAAAGGTTTCCCACGTTATCCCAAGGTTTTCCCACATTATCCCAAAGGTTTCCCACATTATCCCAAGGCTTTCCCATGTTATCCCAAGGTTTTCCCCCATCACCCCACCCTTTCCCCCCCATCACCCCACCCTTTCCCCCCCATAACTGCCCCCTTTCAGCCCTCCCTTCCTTCCCCACAGCCGAAGCCCGGGGTGCTCAGCCTTGGGAAGGGTCCTCTGCAGCTCCAGGTGGTCGGAAAGGGAATGCCGCAGCTCCTGCCCGCCCAGCCGCTGGTGAGCCCCCTCGCTCTCCCAGCCCCATAGCGGGGCCCCCCCCAGAGGCCCATTGGGATGGGGGTGTCTTTCCCAGCCCCCAAAGCCCTTGGCTCACCCCAAGGCATTCCCAGGGCGTTCCTGCAGTCCAAACCCTCCTCGAGTCATGGGATCCATCCCTAAATCCCTTTGCTGCCTCCACAATCCCCATCCCAATCCCCTTCCCCTTCCCAATCCCCTTTCCCCATCCCAATCCCCCTTCCCAATCCCCTTCCCCATCCCAATCCCCCTTCCCCATCCCAATCCCCTTCCCCATCCCAATCCCTCTTCCCCATCCCCTTTCCCCTTCCCAATCCCCCTTCCCCATCCCAATCCCCTTCCCCATCCCAATCCCCTTCCCCATCCCAATCCCCCTTCCCCTTCCCAATCCCCTTCCCCATCCCAATCCCCCTTCCCCTTCCCAATCCCCTTCCCCATCCCAATCCCCCTTCCCAATCCCCTTCCCCATCCCAATCCCCCTTCCCCTTCCCAATCCCCCTTCCCCATCCCAATCCCCTTCCCCATCCCAATCCCCTTCCCCATCCCAATCCCCCTTCCCAATCCCCTTCCCCATCCCAATCCCCTTCTCCATCCCAATCCCCTTGCCCATCCCAATCCCCCTTCCCCTTCCCAATCCCCCTTCCCCATCCCAATCCCCCTTCCCCATCCCAATCCCCTTCCCCATCCCAATCCCCCTTCCCAATCCCCTTCCCCATCCCAATCCCCTTCTCCATCCCAATCCCCTTCCCCATCCCAATCCCCCTTCCCAATCCCCTTCCCCATCCCAATCCCCTTCTCCATCCCAATCCCACTTCCCCATCCCAATCCCCTTCCCCATCCCAATCCCCTTCCCCATCCCAATCCCTCTTCCCCATCCCAATCCCCCTTCCCAATCCCCCTTCCCCATCCCAATCCCCTTCCCCATCCCAATCCCCCTTCCCCATCCCAATCCCCCTTCCCAATCCCCTTCCCCATCCCAATCCCCTTCTCCATCCCAATCCCCTTCCCCATCCCAATCCGCGTCACCGTCCCACTGACTATCCCAATCCCGCTTCTCCATCCCAATCCCACTTCCCCATCCCAATCCCCTTCCCCATCCCAATCCCCTTCCCCATCCCAATCCCTCTTCCCCATCCCAATCCCCCTTCCCAATCCCCCTTCCCCATCCCAATCCCCTTCCCCATCCCAATCCCCCTTCCCCATCCCAATCCCCCTTCCCCATCCCAATCCCTTTCCCAATCCCCATCCCAATCCCTTTCCCAATCCCCCTTTTCCCCATCTTTTGGAGGGGTGAATCCCATTGTGTTGACCCCCACCCCACTGAATCCCACCCCACCTAATCCCACCCCACTGAATCCCATCTCAATGAATCCCACCCCACTGAATCCCTCCCCACTGAATCCCACCCCACTGAATCCCACCCCACTGAATCCCACCCCACCAAACCCCACCCCACTGAACCCCACCCCACTGAATCCCACCCCACTGAATCCCACCCCACTGAACCCCACCCCACTGAATCCCACCCCACTGAATCCCACCCCACTGAACCCCACCCCACTGAACCCCACCCCACTGAATCCCTCCCCACTGAATCCCACCCCACTTAACCCCACCCCACTGAATCCCACCCCACAGAACCCCACCCCACTGAATCCCTCCCCACTGAACCCCACCCCACTGAATCCCATCCCAATGAATCCCACCCCAATGAACCCCACCCCACCGAAACCCACCCCATTGAATCCCACCCCACTGAATCCCACCCCACTGAATCCCTCCCCAGTGAATCCCACCCCACTGAATCCCACCCCACTGAACCCCACCCCACTGAACCCCACCCCACTGAATCCCTCCCCACTGAATCCCACCCCACTTAACCCCACCCCACTGAATCCCACCCCACTGAATCCCTCCCCACTGAATCCCACCCCACTGAATCCCACCCCACTGAGCCCCACCCCACTGAACCCCATCCCACTGAATCCCACCCCACTGAATCCCTCCCCAATGAATCCCACCCCACTGAATCCCACCCCACTGAATCCCTCCCCACTGAATCCCACCCCACTGAATCCCTCCCAATGAATCCTTCCCCAATGAATCCCTCCCCACTGAATCCCACCCCACTGAACCCCACCCCACTGAATCCCACCCCACTGAACCCCACCCCACTGAATCCCACCCCACTGAATCCCACCCCACTGAATCCCACCCCACTGAATCCCTCCCCAATGAATCCCACCCCACTGAACCCCACCCCACTGAATCCCATCCCAATGAATCCCACCCCACTGAACCCCACCCCACTGAATCCCATCCCACTGAATCCCACCCCAATGAATCCCACCCCACTGAACCCCACCCCACTGAATCCCATCCCACTGAATCCCACCCCACTGAATCCCACCCCACTGAATCCCATCCCAATGAATCCCACCCCACTGAATCCCACCCCAATGAATCCCATCCCACTGAATCCCACCCCACTGAATCCCACCCCACTGAACCCCACCCCACTGAACCCCACCCCACTGAATCCCACCCCACTGAATCCCACCCCACTGAATCCCACCCCACCGACCCCCACCCCACCGACCCCCCCCCCCCCCCATCCAACCCCCCCCTCCTCATCCCATCTTTTCCCCTCCCCACAGTTCGACACCAAACTGGGCCTGAAGAAACCCCCCGCCCTCCAACCCAGCAAAGAAGCTTGGTGAGTCCCTCCCCATGGATCCCCCCCCCGTGCCCGTTCCTCTCGGGAACGCCGGGAATCCCTCCAGCTCTTCCCGTTCCTTCCAGTTTCCTGGAGCAGCTCCACAAGCACCAGGGCTCCGTGCTGCATCCCGACTACAAGGCCGCCTTCCGCTCCTTCGACGATGCCCTGCAGCGGCTCCTGCCCTACCACGTCTACCAGGGGGTGCTGCCCTCGGCCCACGACTACCGCAAGGGTAAAGGGAATTCCATAGGGAATTCGGTACAAATCCATAGGGATTTGCTCCTCCCACGGCTCCAGCCGTTCCCAAGGGCTAGGGACGTGGAATGGTTCAAGTGGATGCTTGGAGGGGGGGCCCAAGGGGAACCTCGGCAGCTTCTTCCTCCTCCTGCTTCTCTTTCTCCTTCCCCTTCCCCTTTCCTTTCCCCTTTCCCTTCTACTCCTCTTCCTCCTCCTCTTCCTCCTCTTCTTTCCCCTTCCCCTCCCCTTTCCCTTCCCCTTTCCCTTCCCCTTTCCCCTTCCCCTTTCCCTTCTGCTTCCCCTTCCCCTTTCCCTTCTTCCCCTTCCCCTTTCCCTTCTTCCCCTTTCCCTTCCACTTCCCTTCCCCTTTCCTTCCCTTCCCATTTTCTTTCCCTTTCCCCTTCCCCTTTCCCTTCCCTTTCCCCTTCCCCTTCCCCTTCCTTTCCCCTTCCCTTTCCCCTTCCTTTCCCCTTCCCATCCCCTTTTCTTTCCCTTCCCCTTCTTCTCTTCCTCCTCCTCTTCCTCCTCCCCCTCCTTCCCCTTTCCCTTCCCTTCCCCTTCCCTTCCCTTCCCGCTTCCTTCCCCTTCCCCTTTTCTTTCCCTTTCCCTTTCCCTTCCCCTTCTTCTCTTCCTCCTCCTCTTCCTCCTCCCCCTCCTTCCCCTTTCCCTTCCCCTTCCCTTCCCCTTCCCTTCCCTTCTCTTCCCCTTTCCCCTTCCTTTCCCTTCCCCTTTCCCTTCCTGCTTCCTTTCCCTTCCCCTTCCCCTTTTCTTTCCCTTTCTCTTTCCCTTCCCCTTCTTCTCTTCCTCTTTCCCTTCTTCTCCTTCCCCTTCTCTTCCCCCTCCTCCTCCTCTCCCTTCCCCTCCTTCCTCCTCTCCTCCTCCTCTTCCCCCTCCCCTCTCCCCCCCCCCATGGCAGCGCCATAGGGCAGCAGTGGGGTGTGTGCGGGTGCTCAGCTCTCTGCCCCTTGTGCCCGCAGTGGACGAGGAGTTCGAGGTGGTCTCCACGCAGCTGCTCAAGCGCACCCAGGCCATGCTCAACAAGTACCGGCTGCTGCTGCTCGAGGAGTCCCGGGTGAGTCCCGTCCCCCCCCCCTTCCACCCCCGGACCCATGGGAGCCGGGGAGCGCCGTGGGGCGGCCGGGCTATGGGGTGGGTGCAAGCGCTGCTGCTCCCGCGCCTCTTCCGCCTTCCCGATGGCTCCTTTCGCTCCTCTGCTTCCTCTCCCTCCTCCGTCTGCTCTTTCTTATCCTTATCCTTATCCTTATCCTTATCCTTATCCTTATCCTTACCCTTATCCTTATCCTTACCCTTATCCTTATCGTTACTCTTATCCTTATCCTTATCGTTACTCTTATCCTTATCCTTATCCTTATCCTTATCCTTATCCTTACCCTTATCCTTACCCTTATCCTTATCCTTATCCTTACCCTTATCCTTATCCTTACCCTTATCCTTATCCTTATCCTTATCCTTACCCTTATCCTTACCTTTATCCTTATCCTTACCCTTATCCTTACCTTTACCCTTATCCTTACCCTTATCGTTACCCTTATCCTTACCCTTATCCTTATCCGTATCCTTATCCTTACCCTTATCCTTACCTTTATCCTTATCCTTACCCTTATCGTTATCCTTATCCTTATCCTTATGCTTATCCTTATCCTTACCCTTATCCTTACCTTTATCCTTATCCTTACCCTTACCCTTATCCTTACCCTTACCCTTATGCTTATCCTTACCCTTATCCTTCCCCTTACCCTTATCGTTACCCTTATCCTTATCCTTATCCTTATCCTTACCCTTATCCTTACCTTTATCCTTATCCTTACCCTTATCCTTATCCTTATCCTTATCCTTATCCTTACCCTTATCCTTACCCTTACCCTTATCTTTATCCTTATCCTTACCCTTACCCTTATCCTTATCCTTATCCTTATCCTTATCCTTACCCTTACCCTTATCCTTATCCTTATCCTTATCCTTACCCTTACCCTTATCCTTACCTTTATCCTTCTCCTCCTCCATCTCCTCTTTCTTCTCCTTCTCCTTCTTATACTTTATCCTTATCCTAACCTTTATCCTTCTCCTCCTCCATCTCCTTTCTCCTTCTTCTTACCCTTATCTTTCCTTATCTTTATCCATCTCCTCTTTCTCCTTCTCCTTATTCTTATCTTTATCCTTCTCCTCCTTCTCCTCTTTCTCCTTCTTATCCTCCTTTTCCATCTCCTCCTTCTTCTTATCCTCCTTCCCCATCTCCTTTCTCCTTCTTCTCCTCTTATCCTTATCCTTCTCCTCCTTCTGCTTCTCCTTCATCTCCTTATCTTTATCCTTCTCTTTCTCCTTCTTATCCTCCTTTTCCATCTCCTCCTTCTTCTTATCCTTATCCTCCTTCTCCATCTCCTTTCTCCTTCTTCTCCTCTTATCCTTATCCTTATCCTTCTCCTCCTTCTGCTTCTCCTTCATCTCCTTTATCCTTCTTCTCCTCCTCCTTCTCCTCTTTCTCCTTCTCCTTAACCCTTATCCGTCTCCTCCTATTCAATCTCCTTTCTCCTTCCTTATCCTCCTCCTCCATCTCCTCTTTCTCCTTCTTCTCCTTCCCTTCTCCTTCTCCTTCTCTTTATCCTTCTCCTTAACCCTTCTCCTTCTCCTCCTCCTCCTCTTCCTCCCCGCCTCCCATGCAGAGGGTCAGCCCGTCAGCCGAGATGGTGATGATCGACCGCATGTTCATCCAGGAGGAGAAGACCACGTTGGCCCTCGACAAGCAGCTGGCCAAGGAGAAACCAGGTGGGATCCCCAATCCTTTCCCTTGGGAATGGAGGGGGCCAGGAAAGCCGCCGAGAGGCCCCAGCATTCCCAATGGGAACGGAGCTCCTGACTCTTCCCCCTTTTCCCTTCCAGACGAATACGTCTCCTCCTCTTCCTCCTCCTCCTCCTCTTCTTCCCGCGCTCCCGGCGTTCCCTCCTCCTCTTCCTCTTCCTCCTCCTCCTCCTCCTCCTCCTCTTCTTCCTCCTCCTCTTCCTCCACCTCGGTCTCCAGCACCACCCCGACCCCGGAGAGCCTGAAGGCCCCCCCGGTGCCCACCCCTATGGTCCACCCCACCAAACTGGTCATCAAACACAGCGGTGGCTCCCCATCGGTCACTTGGGCCAAAGCCAACCCGGCTCCGTTGGATGGCGATGAAGACGCTCTTCCATCCCGAAGCAAACCACCCATCAAGACCTACGAAGCCCGGAGCAGGATTGGACTCAAGTTGAAGATCAAACAAGAAGCTGGCTTAAGCAAAGTGGTCCATAACACGGCGCTGGACCCCGTGCACCAACCCCCTAGCACGTGTCGGGTCATCCGAGCCACCGGAGCCACCATGAACGGCTCCCTTGACCACGGAACGTCGGGAATGAGCGACAAGAAGCCTATGGTCACCTATTGCCGTTTACCCCTCCGGAAGACCTATAGGGAGAACGTGGATGCTTTCTTAGGGGAGAAAGGCCCCGATCCCGGCTCCAAAAGCACCAAAGTGGACCCCATCCCGGCCGGAAGCAACGTGAAGCCTGAGGATGGCTCCCGGAGCGTCATCACCACCTCCCATAGGAGCCGGGAGAAGCCAACGGAGAAGAGCCGCTTGGAGGAGAGCTCCAAGCTCTTGGTGCCAAGCAAACCCGAAGACTCCACCAGTGGCCTTCTGAAGGAGCTCGCGGAGGTCGAAGAGGACTTTTACCACGGGATGATCAAACCGGAGCCTCCGGATCAAAGCGCCGGGCCGGAACTCCATTGGGAAGCGCCGTTCCCGGCGGCCAAGCGCCGTAAGTCGGAATCTTTGGAAGTGGATAACGCCAGCTTCTCCAGCGACAGCCCCCAAGACGATGCCCTCAACGAGCATCTCCAAAGCGCCATCGACAGCATCCTCAACCTCCAGCAGCATCCCGGCGCTTCCCAAAGCATCCGGACGCCTTCCTCTTCCTACAATTCCTCCTCTTCCCCTTTCTCCTCGCCCGCCCACCGCACGGACACCTTCGTCGCTGCCCCCAACCACAACGGTGGCCTTGGCGCCAGGACGTTGACCAGATAACAGAGGAAGCTCCTGCTTGGAATCCCGTTGGGAAAAAAAGGGGTTGGGAAGATGGGAATGGGGACTGAAAAAAAGGGGGAAAAGGGGGGGTGGGGTGGGGGGTGGGGGGTGTGGGGGAGGGAGGGGTGTTGGGAAAAAAAACAACTCCGGGATGGAAAACTTCGGGAATATTGGGGGGGGTTGGGGGTGGAATTCCCGGCGCCGTGTGCTGGGGGTTGAAGCCCCCGGTTGGAATCCGGATTCCCAAGAGTGGGATTATTCCTGCTTTTCTATGGGGTGTGTTGTCATCCCCCCCCCCCCAATAGGAAAAGAGGAGCTGGAATGGGGTGATTCCAGGGTTTGGGATCATCCGGAGGGGAAAGGAGGAAGCGCAACAATCGGATGCAAATCCCTATGGAAAAAAGAAAAGGGGGTGGGAATAAGGCTCTGCTTTTCCCTCTTCTTCCCACCGAAACAATGAGGAATTCTCCACCCCCTTCCCTCAAAAACACCCGATCCGGAAGGATTCGTCATTCCCGCTCCGGCGCCGGGCCTTTTCCCGTTTTCCCGTTGCGTTTCCCTCGCCTTTTCCCTTCTTTTCCCATACAAGGGAAATCCACAACTTCCCCATGGGAATGCCAGGGGGAAAAACGGGATTTGGAGGGGGGGGGGGGGGTTCAAACAGCACGGATCCCACTCCGGAATGGGCATTATCCAAGAGTTTTCCCATTTTGGGGGGGGGTCCCAAATCCCGGGAATGGGGGCAAAGTGGGAATTCTCTCGCAGAGGTGGGGCGGAGGCCAAGCGGGCCCCACAGATTCCCTTGGGAACGCCGGCATTCCGGCATTCCTCCCCGCTTGCTCACGGCCAGCGCCCCACGCCGCCTCCTTAACCCCGCGCTTCCCGCTGGCCCTCCCGCATCCCAAACGGAGCCGCTTGGGATCGCTTCCATCCCACTTCTCTTCCCCCTTCCGAAGGCCTTAGGGGAGGGATGGGGATGTCGGGAATGCCTTTTCCATAGGGAAAAAAAAGGGGGGGAATGGATTCTTTGCTTTCCTTGCCTCTCCGGAGCCCCATTCCCGGGTCGGGCAGCAATAAGGGGCAATTCCCGTTTTCCCACTCTTTGGCGCTTCCCGGTTGGATCTCTCCCTTATCCCTATATATCCACGTGTATTAAATCCTGGGTTTCCGGGGGCTCTGGAGCTTGGGAATCTCGCTTTATTCCAGCCATCGGGAGCCTGAAATCCACCTTTTCCCTCTCCCTTTCCCTGGAAAAATGGGAGATTTTCCCCATTTTTCCCCCCAAAAATGAGGGGGTGCAGGATGGGGTTTCCCCTTCATTTTACATAGGACCCCCCCCCCCCCCCTTTATCCCATGGGATGTGGCGCCGAGGAAGGGGGGGGGGTGTCAGCCTTATCCCGATCTATGGAATTAGGGGGGGTTAATCCTGGTTTTAGTGGGATTTTGGGATGGGGCAAGGTCAGAATCATTCCAAACCACCCCAAATCCCCCCCCCCCCCCCCCCTTCATTCCCGGTATCCCGAACGATCCATCCTATAAATAGTTTTGTACTTGTATTTATTGTGGATAACGGCGTTTTTTATCGGGAATTCTGTACATTTAGGACTTTGTAAATTAAAATGGTTTTTGCTTTCTATAAACTCGCCCCCCCCCCCCCCCCCGATCCCTTGGGAATGGGGGGGAAATCCATGGAAAATGGAGAAAATTGGGTTAAAATCCGTGGGAATGGTGAAAATGGAGTGAAAATCCAGCGAAAATGGTGAAAATGGGGTGAAAATCCATGGAAAATGGTGAAAATCCATGGAAAATGGTGAAAATGGGGTGAAAATCCATGGAAAATGGGGTTAAAATCACCAGAAAATGATGAAGGTTGGTTGAAATCCATGGAAAATGGTGAAAATGGGGTTAAAATCCATGGAAAATGGTGAAAATGGAGTGAAAATCCAGCGAAAATGTGAAAATAGGGTGAAAATCCAGCAAAAATGGGGTGAAAATCCATGGAAAATGGTGAAAATGGGGTGAAAATCCATGGAAAATGGGGTGAAAATCCATGGAAAATTGGTTAAAATCACCAGGAAATGGTGAAAATTGGTTGAAATCAAGGGAAAATGGTGAAAATCCAGGAAAAAGGTGGAAATTGGGGTAAAATCCATGGAAAATGGTGAAAATGGGGTGAAAATCCATGGAAAATGGGGTTAAAATCACCAGGAAATGATGAAGGTTGGTTGAAATCCAGGGAAAATGGGGAAAATCCAGGAAAAGAGTGGAAATTGGGGTAAAATCCAGGGAAAATGGTAAAAAAAAACAGGAGAAGTGGTGAA